GCAGCACCCGCATCGTATTCCGTTTGTAATCGGGCACCGCATGAGTCACCAGCTGGCATGTTTGACTGCGATAGACGGGCTTGAAGTTGGCCTCGGCAAATGTGGAGTTTGTATCCCAACGATAGACCTCCGCGTCGCCCTCGTTGCGGAAGAATATGGCCGAGCCATTGTCCGTGCCAATAATGACCATGCGACTTGGCTTTTTGCCCAGATCTGCAATGTGGACTAATTAAAAACTGCTAGCAGTGAACATTGGCTGTAAGAACTCACCCAAAATGCGACCATCGGCCACACCGCTACGCAGGTACTCGGATTTCAGGGAGAAGAGCTTGGCTGTACTCAAATAGGTAAAGTAGAGCTCAGTGGAGCCGCAGTCGCGACGTATCAGCGCTATGTAGAGCACATCCCGGGAGCGACAGCCAGCGGATACAGCCTTGGGCAGCACCACACGAAAGCCGCGATCCGCTTGCAGATTATAGACGATTATCGCACGATTGGCCGCATCGCTCACATAGATAAAGCAGCCGCCATCGGGCGCATAGTCCACGACGAGATACTGCAGACGAGAGCTGCTGGACGTCAGGCCCTCCAGTGAGACAGTCTTCAGCACCTTGCCCGTCTTCACGGACATGGCCACCACTTTGGGCGCGCACTTGCGCACCGGCGTCTCCAAGGTGTTAACTATGCCCGTGTCCAGCACCCAGAGTACCTCGTTCTGGTCCACCACCAGATCGACAACAGACTGCAGAGCCTTGCAGTTGCCCTCCTCTTGCAGATCCCAGCAGGGATACGGCTTGAAGGTGGTCGAGCAGGTGCCCGGCTGGACATTGGTCTTCACCAGTGTCGCAGGCACCCCCTTGCGATAGCGCGGCAGTGCCAAATAGATGCTATCGCCAATCAGCTGGGCACGCGTCGCAATCACATTCTTGGCTATGTACTTGCCGGAGCTCTTGAAGAGCGACTTGGTGCTGGCACAGGGGAACTCAAACTGTCCGCCCGTCCACTGTATAGGCTGTGTGTCGGCGTGTGCGCGGTCCGGTGTCCACAGACCGTACTTGGTCTGCTGACCACGAGCGCTGTGCGAGGCCAAACAAATAACGAGGAGCAGCCCCAGCCAGTGGGCTAGATATGAACGCATGCTTTAACTTAGGGGCTTCTGGAGCTGACAATATATTGACTGAACTCTCAGCTTACACAAAGTCGTGTTTTATATAAGCCATCGAAGTAACCAGAAATGCGCGACGTGCTGCAAGCCAATTTCTCAGATTGCAAACAACTTTTTAGTGGAAGAACCTTGAAGGCCTGACACCAAAATAAAAAAAAGAGTCAAAAGAAACTATTCAAGAAGCAGCTGCTGCTGTGTCTGTGCGTCTGTGTGTGTGTCTCGTACAGTTGGCAGCCAATTGCATTAAAAATAATTGAAATACTTCACGCGCAGAAGCCACAGCAAAATCAGACAAAAGTATCTACACATGTGTGTTATGTAGAAGAGTTTGAATGCAGTTCACGCTGCGTTTAATGAATTGAGTCTTTCTGTGAATAATACACATACAGACTCCCACACACACTCGACTCACACAGTTGCCAAGCCAACTAAGTGCATCCTGATTGCCTGCCCATGTTGTGGTATAATTTTAGTAGATTTCCTAGAAATTGTTTGCCTTGGCAAATCAGCTAAATTGTGCTTGGCATATAACTAATGTATATATAATTTAAATTGCTGCAGATAACTCAATCAACACATGCCTGACTGCCTGCCAGCAAATATTATTAATAGAGTTAACTTATCATGTGATTGCTTTAACTACAGCAAATCCTCTAACACACGTCGCAGCTGCTGGCTTTCCCAAAAGAAAAAGCAAGAAAGGAAGACTAGAAATGGATGGGGAAATAGCTTTCAAGCAGCACGACAGACAACGCCCGAAGTGTTTGCAACAAACGCGACATGTTTGGCATGCCAAAATGTCAGGATATGCCCGCATATGTATTTCCCAGCAAATCCTCCCCCAATGCCAGCGTGATTTATCTGCACACTTTTCCACACACACACGCATTCTACCATTTAGGAGTATGGGCAAAAAATATTGATGACAAGCACTTCCGGGCCTTCCTGCTGTCGTGCCTTACATAATTTATGCAAACATTAGCTTACAGCCCGGAGAGATAAGCGACAACTGAGGCTGAGAACTGACCGTGAGTGAGTCCAGCTCTCACTTAGACACGGCAAAAATCTCAGCCCCTGGCTATTTACCCTCCGTTTATTTGAACAGTTTTTATTGCCGGCTTAACGAGGCGTATACGTCATGTGCAGAGCCACTTGCCCAACGGCCAATGGCCGACGACCAACGACAATCAACACACAGTCCACAATTTGGCCCATTTGATGTTTGTTTAAATAACTTCAATACAAACTCAATAAACGTCCAATTGAATACGCAAATAGCCTTAAATGTAATTTGATTTTTGTCTACCAATTTTGTTCCTGAATCTGTTTTTTAGCAGAGAGCAAGAGAAAACAAAACGTATAAAAAGTCAAATAAATATTGACTGTGGTCACGTTTGGCTTTGCTGCTCTGCTAAATGGGTCGTTAAACTAGCTGGACTCAGCAAATTTTGCTGCTTCTTTTCTCTTCTTGTGTTCCAAAATTTCACATAAATTATAATAACATTTCCACTTTCTGGCAACTGATTTGGCGATTGTGTTTATGCTGTTTTAGCTAGGGCATAAATGTGGATGTGGATGTGGATGTGGCTGTGGAAGTGGATGAAATCTGTGAGATAAAAAATATGTATATTAAATGGAAGATGAATGAAGGCGTGCATGCTTAATGAAACTTTAACTTTAAATAACTTTGTTACATAAAATGTAAAAAAATGCATTTATTAAAATTAAAATTGAATATGTTAAAAATTAAATTCCTATTTAAAAAATTTTAAACCAATATTAAATGATATTACAAAATTATTTTAAAATTAAAAAAATTAAATTAAACTACAAATAAAATTAAGTTCATTTAATGAATAAAATATTAAAGTATATTAAAAAACTAAAGTTAAATTTTAAGTGAAATGAAATTGAAATAAATAAAAAAAGAAAAGCAGAGATTCAGATATTCTAGAGAGTTTGCTGCACATTTTAGGGTATTTCAAGCGTTTGTTTTACAGTTTTATTTTCTTTTTTAGTATAATTTATGTGTCATGTTTCCATGTTTGCTTTTGCTTTGGCTTTCGCATTCGCTTTCTGTTTCTGTTTATGGCTCTGGTTGGCCGGCAAAGTTGTTTTTGTGTTAACGTTTGCTTAAAGTTTTCATTTATTTATTAAGCAAGCACAAACTCAATTTGTTGCATTGAACGATTTGCCATCAATTAAGCTTTTATTCATTGTTTTTAATTGATTTTGCTTTGCTTAAATATTGCACAAGAAATTTTACAGTTTTGTTGACTTGTCTGGAATTTTGTATATTTATATGCATTTATTTATTTTGGCAAGCTCAACCCAGAGCACATATGTTCTCATATATATATATAAATTACTTTTTTTTTGTGCTGTATTCATGTTTCGACGGCAGATCATATTTATATGACTTGCATTTTACAGTGCCAGAATTTTTGTTTAATTTGATGGCTTTTATTTATGAAAGCGCATAAATATTTATCTGCGGCTCGTGCAGCTCGACTGATGGCACAGAGCAGCAGAACGCCCACACACAGACCTTTTGCTACAGCTGCGTATTATAGATATATATCTTCAGATTACCATCAAAATATGGCAACTTATGACAGTTTGTTAAAAGGAATTTCACACAAATTCAATCTGCATGCCATTTCACGTTGTAAAGGCCAAAGACCGCAATCCGCATTCCACAAAAGGGTCAGCTTCCCCTTTTAAGCAGTTTAAATTTAGCTAGCATTTTAGGGAAACAGACTCTTGACCATAATTCACTGAGCTGGGTCTAAACAAAGCAACTGCTCTGCACAGCCAATACATTATGCAAGCACTTTATGAAAGAATGAAATAGGGAGAAAAATAAAGAGAGTTGTTTACGACCTGAAGCGCAGAGCCTTAGCCATTAAAGAAAAAAATATGAATCCAGGGGGCACCCGGATTTGAACCGGGGACCTCTCGATCTGCAGTCGAATGCTCTACCCCTGAGCTATACCCCCAGATGAAAAAAGTTAGCTCGGAGCTATTGTTATTGTTAAATTCAAAGATAAATTTCCTATCAAAATAGCAGCTCAAACTGTTTGCTTATCAAACTGCGGAGTTATCAGCTCGTTTTTTGTTTTTTTTTGTTTCTTTCTTTTGTTTGTTTTTTAATTTGAAGAGAAATACTTTAACAATATTAGTTATCTTAAAATTCAACAAGCTCAACAGCATGTTCTCGAGCGCGCTCGAACGGAGCTTGTTTTCTAACATGATTCAGTCACGCAGAGACAAAAAAAAAAACAAACTTAAAGTTAGTGAAAACACTTCAATGTGCAGAGCAAAGTTTTAGGCAAGTTTTTGGTTTTTTTTTTTGGGTCAGTAGTGTCGATAGTCTTCGGCCCGGAAGGACTGAACTGTGCTGAGCTTGTTTATTAAACTTGACGCTGCATCTGAAATACATGAAATAGTAGCACTTGTGCAACGATTAATAGTTGGCTTGCTGCAAATTGCATACGCGCTGTCAAACGTTTCTCTCTTCCGCAATGCGATTTTTTATGGCTCAGCGGAGGGGGTGGCGGGTGCTAACATGGCTGCTCGTTGCTTCCGTTGTGTCGCACAAAATGGCGTGAGACAGACGTGCTGTGGCTGGCCAGCACTGCAGCTGTAGGTGTGCGTGTGTGTGTGTGTGTGTGTGTGTTAGCTGGTCAGACACATGTTTCCTCATGTTGAGCAGACGACCTTGCACCAGGGCAGACGCGTCTAAAACACACGCGCTAAATGTCACAATCCAAGCGTCTGCTTTCATATATAAATATAAATGCGCCAAGCGCCGCAATAGTTTTATATAATCAAAAGCAGACGCAGACCAACCAGTTGCAAGTGCCCAACAATCTAGGGAACAGCAAAAGTTATTTCTGTACGAAACAAAAATGACTGCGATGCTGTCTTTGCCGCTGCTTCTCTCGCTGATAGCTGTCAGCTGTGCAGCCTACAGCTCCTCGCTGGACGAGTCGCCAAATAGCTCGAATGGCAATTCCATTGGCATCAGCAAGTGCAACAAGAACCCGCTGACGGAGCTCACCTTTCAGCTGAGCGGCAGCAATTTGCATTGGCCCTGCGACTCCACCAAGAATATCTATGTGCAATCGGGTCGCTATGTGCCACGCAATGTGATTGTAACGCGTGCGCAGCTGCAGCGCGATTCGGCATTTGTGGCACTGCCACGCTACAAGCAGGGCGTACCTTTCACACTGGGCAAGGTGAATCTGAAGAAGGGCGAGTGCCTGGCCAAAATAGCGCCGTATCCCTGCTGGGCCATACAGGAGGAGGGCAATTGCCAGGCGCTGCAATCCGTTGTGGACGTAGCCGTGGATCAAAATGTGAGTGGTCTTTAAATATGCTATGCCTCGATGGTGCATGCAAACATATACAAACATAACTACACTCATACACACACACACACACACACATACATATGCACTAACAATCCAATTTAGCTGGAAAAAGCAATTTGTTGCTTTAAAATCGAAAAACTTACTATGCAGCTTTTTTTTGTGCAGCTTCCAGTTGTGTAATATAAATATATATATATATGATATATATATATATTCATTATGCAACTGAAATGGCTTTTTTAATCAAATAAATTGTGTGACCCGACGCAATCGCTTTTAAATGCTGTAATATTCCGCAGCCAATATCAAAAATGGCTCAAACGTAGCTCAAGGCTTTACGATTCCAATGAACTCCATAAAATTAGCTGATATTTGAAACCATTTCAATTTGATAGCAATTTCAATTAGATAAAATTTCTGTCGAACTGTGAATTGTTTATCAACTGAATTTTAGCCCCGCAAATTTTTAGAAATTTAAAAATAGTTTTTAGTTGTTAATTCTTACATTTGTTAGTTCATTTCCAAGCCTTGATCTCTAATTTATATTATTCAAAATATTATTTCATTTCAATTTCAATGCAAACATTTTGCGTTGTATTTAAACAAAAGTCGTTTCAGCAATAACAACAATCAAGTTTACAATTTATATATCTATATATATGCATGTACAATTGGCACGCGAATTTGATTATTTGCAGTTCAGCAATTGCAACACAATTTAAATGCATTGTTTTTTTTCATTTATTATTGCTCTTTATTATTTTTGCTGATGCGCATAAAAAATTGAAAATTCCAGCCATGCCGCAAATGCAATTGAAAAATATTTTAAATAGCTTCAAATGAATTATTTTTGATAGGGCTTGCTGTGGGTCTTGGATGTGGGCATTGTGAACACTCTGGAGCAACCCATACGTCGCTGCAGTCCCAAAATCGTGGCCATCAACACAGCCAACAATAAAGTGGTGAAAAGCATTGACCTCAGCGATCTCGTGACCTCCGAGAGCCGTTTGCAGTTCATTGTCGTCGACTACTCCAAGGATAACAAGCCTTTTGTGTGAGTCTTTAAGTGAAATTCTTAAACCCAATTGAAAGTGAAACAAGTGAATCGAAATCTTATCAATGTGGTTTCTAGATAAGCACCCAAGCGATTTGTGATTTGTGACAATTGGTAAAAATTTTCAATTTGAAATCTTTCCTCTCTTTCTTGCAGCTATGTCGCAGATGCTGGAGCTCGTAGCATTCTAGTCTATGATATTACGGGGAGCAAATCGTATCGCATTGTCTTGCCCCGGGCCACAGCTCCGACGAGCGATGTACTCTATGTAGCCTTGACTTCCAAGCCCGACGGCACTTCGACGCTGTTCTTTAGCTACCTGAGCTCTTCGCGCCTCTATTCGATCAAGGGCGAGTATTTGCGTGTGGGTCAGGGTGCCGGCTCCATTATCGATGTGGGTCCGAAACCCTATGGCAAGCAGGCAGTGCTATTGGGCACCGATGGTGGCACCTCGCTCTTCTTCCGCTACAAGGGCGAGAATGACATTTATCTGTGGGACTCGGAGACCTGCTTTAAGGCCTCCAATTTGCAGGAGGTGCAACGTGGCGGCGATTGCCGTCTGTCGACTCAAGTGCTGCCGGGCCATAAGCGTTTCATGTGGGCGCTCGAGAGCAACTTCCATGATTTCATCTCCGATCGCACTGGCTGCAATGGCGCCTCCATTGTGCTGCATCCCGTTGTGCGCGAGTGTGACGATTGATTGAAGTCTCTGCCTCATTTTATTAGTCATATAAGTTTTGTTATTTTTTATAAATAAAAAGTTTTGTAAAGCTTAACAGTTGCCCACAACACACGTAAATTTGCCCAAGTCAAAGACTTGGCCCTGCGTGCAGCTGAGTAGCTCCATGTCAGCACCCTTCGTCGGACAGTGATAAAAGCGATTGCAATCGGTCAAATCAGCCGCCAATCCTACACGTTGACATTTCTCAGTCTTGGGCTGCGTATTGTCTTCCGTCACTGCTGGCGGCTTTCCGTGGCGACACATGAGTAAATGGGCATCAAAGTAACTGCCCGCTGGACAAGTTTCCACTTGGAGCTGTCCATTTAAGCAGTAGTTGTACTCATATACTGATTCCGACGGATAAATCATGCCATTGCGGCATTCTGCAGAGTTGCCTTTGGCAGCCAGAACAAGCAGCAGCAGTGGCAATAACTTGGAATTCATTTCGAAGACTGTTGCTGCTGACTAGCTATAGCAGCAGCTTAAATAATATTCGATAAGTAAAGCTACGAAAGTAATTAAAAGATTTGATAAGATAAGGCCTCGTAGAAATTTGCTCCTGTTTGCTGTATAAATTTGCAATTTTTTTATTGTTAAAGCTGATTATATATGCTCTGGCTCACAGACAGCGCTGATGCCATCAAAGATGGAACCCTTGGGGCACTCGTAGCTCATAAGTTGGCCATTTTGGCACAGGAGATAACCATGTTTCGTTTCAGCGGCATAGAGCTTAGATTCCTCGCAAGTCTCTTGCTCCTTGCGGCAAGTGTTGCGACTCGGATCGTAGACGGATCCCGCTGGGCATCTTTGGTAGATCAACTGGCCATTGGCACACACATTGAAGCCATATTTCGTTTCTGCGGCATAAAAATTGCCCTCTTCACAGGTCTTTGACTCCTTCAGGCAAATACCTGTGACCGGATCGAAATAGTGGTCGACGGCACAACTTTGATAGACTCTCTGACCATCGACGCAGTAGAAGTAGCCCTCAGCCGTATCCGCGGGGTAGACAACGCCCTCCTCGCAGTCGGCCAACAGCTTAGCAGGCTCGGTTTGCTTGAGCTTGGCATCTGAGACGCAGCTGTGGTTATTAAAGCTGTAGCCGTCGCTGCACTTCATCATCAGTGGGTAGAAGACATCCTGAGTGCCGACCTTGTCCTTCTGGCAGATATAGTAGTAGCTCTTGTGGGCAGCCCAGGCGCCTGTCTGACCGACATAGTTGCAGGTGTATTGTTTCTCCGAGCACAGCTCGCTCTCCCGTGGCAAGCTGCAGCTGTTGGTGAGCAGGGAGTAGGCAGCACCATTGGTGCATTGACGTGGCGTGTCCACGTTCTGTTCACTGCACTCGTGATAGCTGCGGCAATCGTACGGATCCGGAAATATGCCCGGCTGTTGGCAGTAGAATTTGCCGCGCACAGGCACCTGACATTTCGGCTGCCAGGTGCAGCCGATGGAGCCCTCATCGTTGCAAAAGAAGCCGCGCTCCGACTGGCAGGTTGTCATAGACACCGTTTGCCACTGCCCATCCACATGCGAGCAGAAGCCCAGCGTGGAGCAGTCCACGCATACAAAGCCAGCCAGGCGTATCTCCTGGCAAGGATTTGTCACCAGCTCAGCGGAATCAATTACCTTGCTACTGCCCTGGCAGCCCACCAAGTACCCAAGCAGAGGAAGCAACCACTTAATCAGATTCATTTTAAAGACTGTTGACTGAAAATGCTGCCAGCAGCTGCTTAAATAGACTGAGATAAGTATTCGTGGTAAATGTCAAAGGCATAATTAAAAGATAATAGTTAATGATGCTTCATTAAAGACCAAAAGAGAACAGAGTTTTGAAAAAGCAATTAGATAGTATTTAAAGTTTAGCAAGCGCCCAGCACGCAGGCTGACTGCTCCTTTCGGTAGTAGGTGCCGGCGGGACACTCCAAGTGGCGCATTGTCCCATTCAGGGCGGAGCAATAGTAGTACTTGCGACAGTTGTCCGTGTCGGGCATAAGACCGACGTGTGTGCATTTAGCTGGCAGCACACTGAAGCTGTCATCGTTGGGATCCACAAGGTCTGGCAGGCCAGGTGAGGGCATGGGGTAGCCCGGGTTACCTTGACGACAAACGAAATCCGCAAAGATCTCACCATCGTTGCAGCGATGCAGCGAGGGATAAATGACAACTGTATCGTTTAGATTTTGATTCACCGTCGACTTGCACACGTAAAATATGTTGGGATTACTGGGCCAGGCAGCCACATAGCCCACCCTGGGGCATTCGTATTGCGGTTGAGTGCATACCTTGCTGTCCAGCGTCATCGAGCATTGGCCGGTGTGAGCATCGAAGGCTTTGTCATTGCCACAGTCGACAGCAGCTGCTACCAGAGTGGCGCCCACAAAGTAGCACATATGATACTTCTGACAGTCGTAGGGATCCGGGAAGATGCCCTGCGAGGTGCATTGAAAGTTGCCCACAATGCCAAAGGGATGGCAGGGACCCGTCGCATTCGAACACGTACCCAGTCGCATATTACAATAGAAGCCGTTGGCCACATCACAGGATTCGACGGGAATATTAACCCAACCATTCGAATGCTGTACGCAAGTTGCGAGCAGTTCACACGACTCACAAATCGGTCCGGGTGTCTGTCGCCCTTCACAATTGCTTGTTTCCCTGGGCTGCACGATGCGCGTAGTAACCGTGGCAGCACTCATCAAATTGATGACGTAGAGCAGTAGCTATTTCACAGAGAGAAAGAGACCGAGAGATAAGTATACTCCACATCATTTACAGATTATTCATTTTGCTAACTAACCATGCTAAAATATAGCTTATTACAGGACATGTTGTTTGAGTAAAGATCACTGTTAGTTTGAGCACGTCTAATTGCAGCAAAGTACTTAAATTGTCTGATTTGTTAGCGTAGCTGGGAACTACAAAAGCACTTTGACTCACAACCCAAATATAGCAGACGCACAAAGGTAAAAGATATCTTCAATTGTGGCATTGGGCTCGAGAGCCCATCTTTATATCAATACGCGTGTTCTATATTTGCGGGTATGTGTGTGTATGTCTGTGCATGTATATAATGTCTTGCGAAAGTTTCGAGTTGGGCAAAGTGAAAAACGTAACTTACAACAAACAGCGATTACAAAAACGAATTGAATAGAATGGAATGTTTTGCTGATGAGTAAATGGGCTTCTATTGACACAGAAAACATTGTGGTAAACTCTTTGCTTAGAAATTGCTTTTGTTTATATGACCTTTACCAGTTTCTCTATATACGCATAAAGCACTTAGCGAGTGTTTGCACAATTTAAATATTTGCATGGATTGTTTAGTTTTGAATTGCAACTGGCAGTTAAATTTAAATATTAAAAAATACTGAGCGCGCAACCAAGTCGATAACCGTCAAAAGTGTTTCGTTACTATCGACATTGATACCATACACAAATTTGTTTGGTATTTTTGTTATCGAAAATAGCATCCAAATTAAAATCTAGCAGAATCCAGCTGTGCTCTGCACAGGCACACCGACACATACAACTCACTTCAATTATCATTTGTATTATTTTAACAATTTCTAATGGATTTCGTACACGAAGCTGTTGCACTTGGAGTGGACATACTTATCCTAGGCCTCTGTGTACGCGAATATGTAAATTACAAGACAACCGCGAGAGTGCTGAAGGTTAGAGGAGCAATTCTAGTTAACTGAATGCATAATCATAATCAACAATTCTGTACACCCGCAGGAAGCACCGCAATATAATATTGATGGCGAGCTTAAAAATATTGTATCGCGGCAACGGGATAAGAAGATCCCGTATGCTGTCATACGAGGCACAGTTGCCCCGATTGGTGTGCCACTCCGCAGCTCGTTTGTGCCTAGCGTGAGCGGCGTACTCCAAATCGTAAAGCTTCATGAGCATCGCGTTATGCGTGCCTTTGCCGGCTTCTGGGCAGAACAGAGAAAAATGCTGCATGAGAGCATCAACGAGATGCCCTTTGAGCTACGCAATCAATCGCACGGCGTAGAAATTATAGATGCGATGAGTGCAGCTGTATTGGACGTGGATGTTGTCTACGATAACTATGAATCGACATCGCTGTCGTTTTTTGATCACATATTTGGCTTCTTTACGGGTGTAAGGCAGAAGGGATTGCAAACAACTGAACAAGTACTACGTGATGGCAGCTTTTTGACCGCCATTGGCGAACTGGAAATGGATGGAGAAACTTTGCGCATGCAGCCATCTAAACAGGGCCCGCTATTCCTTACAACGGCCACAAAATCAACACTCATCAAACGTTTCGAGGACGCCAAGTCCTCCATGCTGTAAGACAGCTTAATGTGACCTTCAAAGCTCCTTCTCAACTATCTATTCTCTTGCAGCTTTAAGATTGTATTGTGCAGCAGCATATCCATGGTCTTGCTGGGTCTTATCGTGCGGAAAATGTATCGTAAAAAGAAACAAGAACACGAGGAAGCCAAAATTCGTAAGCGCCTAGAGGTGGAGCGTCGGGAGCGGCGAGCACGCAACAGGCCGCACACCTTGACCCAAGACCAGCTGTGCGTTGTATGCTCCACCAATCCCAAAGAAGTAGGCTGGTTGAAGCTCTAGTCTATAATCCGCATCTCTAATGACACGTCTGCTTTTGCTCTTCCAGATCATTTTGTTGCCCTGCGGACATGTGTGCCTGTGTGAGGATTGCGCCCAAAAAATCGACATTACTTGCCCCGTTTGCCGCAGCAAAATCGACTCAAAGGCGGCTGCATTTATTGCCTAATTGAGTGGATTTCAGTCGTTAGATCAACTGTACCTGTCTCATAAGTATTTGTTACTTGAGCTCTAATTAGTGTGCAGTTTACATTATTGATAAAATTCGTTTCAAGTGTTGAACATCAAGTAGTAATTGTGGGGAATCTTCCTATGCACTCTCTGGATGCATAATGCTTATATACTCATATTGATGCTTCAATAGCTTCAGAAAGACTTGGTACTTTCGATTGTGCAGTTCCTGCGTGCTGGAATTAGGTCTTATCACTTGCCCATGGCCGGACATGGCTTTTGAGGCGGTCTACAATAACACTTTCGAGTTTAGTTGATATTCTCAGTTGAGATGTAGCTCTGTACACAATACACACCTCCAAGTTATTATACTGACCATAGGCAGCAGCGCCTAAGGCGGCTGCGCCTACCAATACCATTTCCTCCTCGTAGGGAACCACAGCAGGCAGATTGCAAATATCCGAGTGGCACTGTATGTAGAGTGGATTCTTGGACAATCCTCCGCAAAAGAGTAGCGATTTGAATAAAGGCCGACCGTGTTGGTAAAGACGTTCAATAATGTGCCGTGTGCCATACTATCGAACATATCAAGTATAAATAAATACATAAAAAACAGAAATATATTCACATTGACTTACAGCAAGAGCCTGAACGAATGCCAAGTACTTGATGGCCAGCGAGTCGATACCACGCGTCATATCCAGTCCAGTCATCTAAGCGAATAAGGACTGGTTTATAAACAATATAATATATAACAAACATATTACTATGCCGCGCAGCGTCGGATCTGCTATGGGCGAACGATTGCCATGTAGATCCGGCCAGACATGCACGTCCTCCGTTAGGTAGGCTATATCGGGGAGGTTCCGAGAGGCGGCTAGCTTTGGTAATATCTGGTTAAGATGCTGATAAATATATCTTAAATGAAACGTACACTTATAAATTGGAACTACAAATATGATTAAGTATTCACTGACTTATCTCCGCCTAACTTCTCCTTAAGCCCAACATAGCACTCATGCGTCTTGAGCAAATGATCCAGTAGATGGCCTGCAATCGATTGGCCACCCTCGTTCAGATGATAGCCAGGTATAACGGCATTTTTGTATGGACCCCAAATGCCTTTGGCAAAGCAAATGTGTTTAGTCAAGCTCATATGGCAGGTAGATGTGCCTGCAATTATAGCCAATCTAGTCTGCATATCCGTAGGGATATCTTCTGCTTGGCAACCAAGCATGCCCAATGTGCCGGCATGTGCATCTATTAGGGACGTACTGACCACAGTGCCCGGTGTAAGGCCCAGTTCTGCGGCAGCCATCTTCGTTAAGCCCGAGCCCACATGCTTGCCAGGTGGCTCCAACTTGCTGCCAATAATTGAAAAATGTGAATTCACCAGCTCCATGAGACCGATGTCACGTAAGAATTCGGCGTTCCAGCTATTCGCCCCGATATCGTAGTTCCATTTACAGACCGCAGAGCACAGAGAGCGAGTATCAGAACCTGTTGCACGCCAAGTGAGAAAGTCGGGGAGGTCGAATGCCCGCCATATATTGTTATATGATTCCGGTAGATAACGTTTGAGCCAGAGCAGCTTGGGTATCTGCATTTCGAGAGATACCTTGCCTCCCACATATTTAAGTACAGGATGCTGGGTTGCATTAATATAATCTGCCTCCTCAGAAGCCCGATGATCCATCCAAAGAATGACATTCTGAATATGTATTGCGGATTTGCTTACAGTCAACGGGTTCTGTTTAGAATCAATCAAAGCCAGAGAGCAGGTTGCATCGAAACCGATGCCCTTCACTTGTGTCCTATTGATACTACTGGTGACATGCTGAAAATTAGCTCTAGGTTAATCTAATCTAAAACGATCTCCGGGTTATCATGTAACTGTGTATTACCTTGACGACCTTACAGACTGCACGCCAAATATCATCGGTCGATTGCTCAAAGATGTCCGGCTCTGGTGTCCACGTTTTGATCTTTTCTACTGCCTGGTGCTCCACTTGACCTTTGACGTTGACCAGCGCTGCTCGCGCACTGCCCGTGCCCACGTCTACGCCTACAAAGTATACTGCGGTATTCATAATACAGTATTTTCGTCTACTGTAACAGCGTAAAAATATTATTAAAGCCAGCTCGTTGAATGCCTAGCACAAACTGATAAGTATTTCGAGAGGTGATACTGCTACCGTTATCGGTTATATTAGATCTCTCCGGAAAGGTAGTGGTGAATATTGTTTGTTCTGAGTCTAAGGCCTAGACTAATGTATAGTTCTGTCTAACTCCCACTTTTAGAAAATAAATAAACAGTCCAGTAAACAGTCCGTTTCATAATCATATTAATTAATATTATATTTACAGAAAGCTAACTGAAATTTAAGCCATACCTTTATATTACCAAACACATTTACTAATAATAAATCTAACGTTACGCCTACTTACTAAAACTTCCAGCAGCTACGAGCGTTGCTTGCATACTAAAAAACTTCTCTCCAACTACGGCTTCTCTGATGCATGTATTTAAATATTTAAATTGTAAGAAATCTCGCGCGCACGCTCTTTCCCTCTTTCTTTTGCTCTCTCCCACTCATTTGTCAGACAACTGCAGCAATTGCTCTCGTTATACAAGGTCGCTTTAATTTCACGATCAATGTTTTTCTATCACGACTAATCGGTAACTGTGCCCATCACAAGCACGCTATCACGCTTTTCAGCAATCTGGCAACGCTGCGCGGCAACGCTCGTGTTTGTTTACGATGGTTCGCATTAAAAATCGGTAAGCTAATTAAATAAATGCCTTTATTTATGACACACAGTTAATTATATATCCAACGTTGTGGACTATCAGCTATATAGCCGTACAGATTGTACCATATGCACCGGTAAACACCCTACGCCTCAACGACCACACACTGTCCAAGTGCTTGCTGCAAAATGTGGAGAAATATTATGGAGTTTACGGATTGGGTATATTGGAGCATGGTTTCCGTGTGAAATACTGCAATGAGCGCACCAAAATTGCAATTATACGTTGCCTGCATCGTGGACATCGCTATGTGTCAAGCATATTGCCGTTGATAACGTTGGTAAATGTGATACTATATTAATTTTAATATGTATATATATATGTATATATATAAATATTGATTACAGATAGGCGATGTGCGTGCCAAGTTTCGAACCCTTTACGTGGGTGCTACCATTATACAGTGCAACAAGTTTATAATCAATCACCAGCGACAGTTTCTGGACCGCATGATGGGCCAAGTAGCATCCGCTAAGGAACGTCAGGATCTCTTCAAGCGCGTTATGGAGCTCGATATGGACAGGTAGCAAAGGCAACTTTCAAGTTATGTTCCAAAATGATTTATGTATACTTAAGAATAGTACATAGTTATCTTATAAAATATTGTTCCAATTTGACTAAAAGTTAAATTTAAAGTGAATTTCTTTTTTGGTAAACTCGGTTATTAGACTTCAATAAGGAATTTGCGACTTGACGAACGAGATAGTCTCGCACTGCATTGCTTAATCCTGTGCTCCAGGTCCGAGAAAGTCAATTTATTTTTCTTGCTATAGACATTCAGATAAATGCCCAGGACAACAATTAGTCCAGACCAGATATATCTGAAACGACAAACATGACATTTTATAGGAGACCAAATTGACGACGAATGACTCTACTTACTGCACTGTGAAGGGTTTGCTGAACAGCAGGAACGAGAATGCTATGGTCACTGCCTTGCGTGCAGTAGTCACCGTGGCGGCAATCGGAGCTCCACTGCTCCTAACCAAAGCCAACACAAATTGTATGCCCAGATAGCCGGAGAGACTAAATAGAAAGCCATAGCCAAAGGTTTCTAGGGGATGGGCCAAGCAAAAGGCGAAGCCACTAAAGAAGTTGCCGGTCAGCAACATGATCACAAACAGATAAACAAAGCCCAGTCCGTAGGAGTAGAAAACCACTTCGCTGCTGGATGCTTTATGCTCCCGCATCGCCTTCTCCTGGACATTGCCAATGGCTGCATCACACAACAGTGCGCCGGATATCATGGCAACGCCAAGAGGATTGAAATTGGGCGTCAGCTGCGAATCGGCCAGCGTAAACCAGGCCAAGCCAATGCACATGGCTGTCGCAGCAGCAAAGTCCAGAGGACCATAACGTTTGCCCTGTATAATGATGCTGCCAACTAGCACGGGGATTAGCTTGCAGCACTTAAAGATTACTTGAGTGGGATAGTTGAGATAGCCGAGACTCGAGTTCGATAGACCCATGGTGCCGAGCGTAAGTGCGGCGAGTACAAAATAAGTCTGTAAGGGTATGCAACGTGGCGCTGGCTGAACACTCCAAATTCTGCCGCCATTCGTTCGATAGGCCTCCAAGCGGCGCTCGACTAGGCCGAAGCCTATGTAGTAGGCAAACTGCACCAAGGTGAGAAACCATCCATATGGTTTGAAGCCCTCTACTGTAAATATCAGCTCCTGCAGATATCCGTAGATAATATAGAGTATGAAAACGCCGGCACAACTCAATAGAAATTGAGTTGTTCGATTGTAGTGAGTCAGGTCAAAGCAGAGAATGCGCAGTTCTGGTGTTGTCGACTTCGAAGGGGATGAGAGTTTTCGCTGTGACGTTGATGGTGAAACGGATACAGCCGTCTGCTGGCCTTTTCCATTGCTATTTATGTTGATAACGTCGTGTTCGCTGTTTGCTTGGCCCTCACCCACCATTGTGTAAGTGCAAGTGTGTGTGTGGTCAGCGACGTTCTGCTCGTGTGTGCGGGTTTATCACAGTTTCGGTATATACTATTTTATTTATTGCCACGCAAAACTATGAACTACATTGCATGGATTCTGCATTCCTCAATATTACATAATCACTGTTATGCATTGCGACTTTTGTAAATCATTAACTTTTAATAATATCAAGTACGGTTTTGTTTATTCTTTTACTTGCGAGCAGTCGATAAATAAAGGCTTTTAAAAATCGAAACGCGATATATATTTTGGGTATGGTGCTACCAGACTTACTTAAATATTGAAATATATGGTCATCCAAAATTGTGCAATTGGTCACACATAGATCAGTGTTGCCAGTTTAATGTTTTCAGTTAACTATCTGGCAACCCTACATTCTCTTAAAAACATCATTTCGTCATTTAGCAGCTCTCGCATTTTGTTTCATTTTAAAAATGGCAGACGTAGAAAAGGAGCCTGAGAAGACCATTGCTGAAGATTTGGTTGTTACCAAATACAAATTAGCTGGAGAAATTGTAAATAGTAAGTAAATAATGAAACATAATTAACAAATGAGCTGCAAAGTGAAAGTGAAATCTGAATTTTCTGCAATTTACTCGTCGGCCGCTACGTGTAGCCGACAACAATGGAGCTAACGAAGACGTCGGCGCTGACGCTGACGTCGCCGTTGCTTTAAGTAGCCACGCGGCGGTGTACGCGGGATATGTGAGAGCGTAACGTGCATAACCTCAAAGTTTTCAGGTGTTGAATTCTTTAGCTTAGTTGCTAGTTGTTGCTAAATTACATCTTTAAAACAATAAAAAGTTATCGAAACTGCTTTTTGAGCTTCAGTTTCATAAAAAACCAGAAAGGCCAATGTGAAATTGCAATGCTAATGAGAGATTCACAATGCCACTCGAGACGTGCCGAAACTCGTTTCACATGGAAATAACTCGACTATTTCTGTTTGATGTATTTAATTTTAGAAACACTGAAGACAGTGATTGAACTCTGTGTGGTGGACGCCTCTGTGAGGGAAATATGCACCAAGGGCGACAATCTGCTGACTGAAGAAACCGGCAAAGTAAGTTTCAAGTGGATATTTCCACTAAAAACCATCAACCAAACAGTCAAAACAAGTCCAATGATTAAAACTAACACAATTGAGGATCTCTTGCGTGTGCTCCGCTGTGGACTGGCAGCATGTGTGTGCGCCGCGTGTTTTGAAATTTTCATCCACGTGCGTTTTGAACGCAGTCTGTGGTCGGCGTGCATGCTCTGAGGCCCGAAGATTCATAGATTATGAGATCTGAGGACACAATTGGCAAGCAGCCAATTGTCAGTGTTAGCATGATAAATCGATTAACACGCTGTCATCTCTAGGTATACAAAAAGGAAAAGGAACTGAAGAAGGGTATCGCATTTCCGACATGTCTGTCGGTTAACAATTGTGTCTGTCACTTTTCGCCAGCTAAAAACGATGCCGACTACACGCTAAAGGCGGGCGATGTAGTCAAAATGTAAGTATTTAGGCTCACTCTTGTTATTACACATATAATTAATTTATCTTGTATATACAGCGATTTGGGTGCCCATATTGATGGCTTCATTGCTGTGGCTGCGCACACAATTGTCGTTGGTGCGGATCAGAAAATAAGCGGACGTCAAGCTGATGTCATCTTGGCTGCGTATTGGTCCGTCCAAGCGGCGTTGCGTCTGCTCAAGTCCGGTTCCAGCGTAAGTTTTTTTTTTTATCATTTTAGTTATGGTGCAAGAAACGGATTGTCTAGCGTATTAAACACAGCGTCAGCACATCTCAACACTTGCACAGAACATCAGCGACAATTGACGAATGCGCTGCCATCAGATCGATGGCTGGGCTAGTGTTGATTGCTCACACTCGCACATATATGTATATAGTAACCCTTTTGCTGCAGGCAACGGATTGGCTGCTGCCCAAAAAATATAAATGGCACAGTACAGCTCAACGTCTGCAAAGATCAATTGCGGCATTTTCGTGAACTGAACGAGTTTATACACAGAAATGTTCGGTCTTTACAATTGCACACAATTTATTTAAATTATATTTAGCTCATATGTTCGAAAAATCATATTTAGTATAGCTATTAGTTGTGAACCTAAACATGATCTGTCTTACATTTATTTTAGAATTACTCAATCACCGATGCCGTGCAACAAATCAGCGAGTCGTACAAGTGCAAGCCCATTGAGGGCATGCTTAGTCATGAGTTGAAGCAGTTCAAAATCGATGGTGAGAAGACGATCATACAGAATCCGAGTGAGGCGCAACGAAAGGAGCATGAGAAGTGCACCTTTGAGAAGCACGAGGTTTATGCCATTGATGTCATCGTCAGCAGCGGTGAAGGCGTGGTAAGCAATGTGTTCCCAAGGAACAGTTATCAGCTAATATTTGTTCAATGATTAAAAACACGCGCTTGAGGATTGGCTTTGCAAGGCGAAGGGGTTGATCATGTAAGTGCCTTGTGTGCTTGGCGAGTTGTGTTTTAACTACTTGGCACATGTCAGCTTTGAAGCTGCGGTATTGCTAGTCCGGAGATTGTAAGATTATGAGATCTGAGAACGCATTGAAATACATTGAATCTTGTTGATGTTTGGTTTCGCAGCTTTGCTAATATTAAGGTTTGTCTTTCAGGGTCGCGAGAAGGACACAAAGGTCTCAATTTACAAGAAGTCCGATGAGAACTACATGCTTAAGCTGAAGGCATCTCGTGCCCTACTCGCTGAGGTGAAAACCAAGTATGGCAATATGCCCTTCAACATCCGCAGCTTTGAAGAAGAGACTAAGGCGCGCATGGGCGTCGTCGAATGCGTCTCACACAAGATGATTGAGCCCTTCCAAGTGCTGTACGAGAAGCCTTGTAAGTTACTTTTAATGATTTATTTAATCCTGCAAAACTTAATTCCGGATTTGGTATAACTCTTGAGCTGCCAATTTCGGCCAGACATTTTGCTAGAACAAAGCTCCAAAGGCTTTGGTGTCTTCAGCCGTCGCCTCTTTTTATGGCCTCGGTCTGAACATGCCATTGCTACAAAAGTTTCAATATATTTTCCAATATTTATATTTTAAAAAGATATCCTCTAATTTTTTCGGTTTTTTCTTGCAGCTGAGATTGTAGCACAGTTCAAACACACGGTATTGCTCATGCCCAACGGCGTCAACCTGGTTACCGGCATACCGTTTAATGCCGACATCTACGTAAGCGAACACAGCATCGCGCAACCTAACCTGAAGGTAAGCAATACTTTTTGCTGATCGCGTATGACCAAAATTTTAAACTTTGTATAATTTATTTTTATTTAGGAGCTGGTCGAACAGCCCCTGGGACCGGTCAAGGGCAAGGGCAAAGGCAAGAAGGCAGCTGCTGGTGGTGCGGCGACAAAAGTGGAATCGGCGCCGGCCGTTGAGACCAAGGCATAAGCTCCTCACCCGGATACCATACAAAACATGCCCCCTTAAAGCAACAACAATGTGAACAATTGCGCTGCCTACTGCTGCCGCTCTATAAATTTTTACTATAGAATTCGTTGATTAGTAAACCAGAAAAATCATTTGACAACAACATAATACGTTTTCGTTCCAAGAACTTTAAATATTTCCACTATAAGAAAAAGAAAAAGATAAATAACCACTTGAAAGCTTATTGAGTTTTTCGAACCCGAAAAGCTGAAAGTGCGGCCAGCTCTATAAATATTTCCCTCCTTTTAAAAGCGTACTGATTTTTTCGTTTTTAAATTTCATAATCGGTTTGTTTCAAATCGCAACGAAGAATTGTAATTGTAATTTTTAAAGTAAACAATATCTTTAGAAACGAACTTATGATTCAAGAGAAGAAAAAAACGTTAAAAACCCCGCGCGTAGTAGGTATTAAATAAAATTAACATTTTATATAAAAAAAGAAAAAGCCGATAAATAAAACTGAGTTTTCTTGGACTGTGGTTGGATATATCATTAGACTGTTTCATATATCACTTAATATGTTTAAGTAAAGAGACTTTAATAAAATGAACCAAGATGACTATTTCCAATACAAATAATTTTTCTTTTATTTTTATGTTTTGCGTAATTAAGTTATTTTCACAATCTTTATGTTTTTTGTGTTTGAATTTCTTGCATGTAATTAAAATTGTACACAGTCTCATCTCTGAACTCTTGTTTACAAAAGTAGCAAGAATATTTGTTGTTATCGTTAATGTTACTAGGACACCCATTCCACACACTCTTTCCCAACAGCCCCATCCGCGAACTCTCCATACCGACACGTCACACGAAATTGTGCCAACAAAATTAAACAACAAAACAAATTACATATTACAATTGCTACGAATGATCGTATGAATAGTGAATTATGAGAACGAGAAGTGCGCTCGCGAGATATGCGAAATAAAATGTGCAACCAAAGTGGAGAGAGATGCGCCGTCGATGGAGTCGTCGATTTCAATCAATTGCATTTGTGTTAGCTGGAATACATGTTGCATGTATTTGCTGGATCTGGTTATATAACAAGCAAGTCTACAACAGCCAGCGAGGGAGCGGGGTAAAACGACAACGATGATGATAGTGCCATTCAGGCTATTAGTTGTCGGCATGTGCATCTATCGGCGCCGAGGCGGTTACATTGCTGGGCTTCTCCGGCGAATCTAAATAGATCTTTAGCGCTCGTTCACGACGATGAGAGTAGCGCGGCGTTGAAATGCAACCGAGTCGGTCCAGGCGCGCCTTCTCCTTATTGGTCAATGAGCGACGCTCATCTGCCGACAGCTCTCGAACCGGCGCGTTCTTATCTCTGCAAGCAAACCATAAATTGAGTGATACATTAAAGAGAGAGATGATCTCCCACTCACTTATACAAATACATGTTGCCGTTTTGCGTCGTGTTCAGCGGATACATGTCCAAACCGACGGGCACAGACATCCAGTTAACGGCCTCATTAACGCTAACTGCCGATATGCTTGTGCAGGGAAAATAGCTATTAAGCTGTAAGGGAGAGTTAGACGTGTTTTAAGAGATATATATATATATATATATTTATATCTGTATAAAAATTACCTTTCTATAACTCAATCGGTCAACAGTAATATTGCATATTTGTGATAAACAACGTCTAATTTCGCTGTCCTCTGTAAGTAGGAATAAGATTTAGTAAAATGCTTATTTCTTTCATCAATTATATCTAGCTTACTGTCTATTGTGATTTCCTGGAATTTTCCGAATTCCCATTTTTCTGGATACCAGCGACGCACGAATATAGTTAAAGCATCGTCCTTTGGCTGCGCCACTACGCCCTCCTCACACTCTTGCACAATGAACTGATGAACAAAATAAACAGAATTGGATATGCTCCTAGAAATATGGAATTATTATTGCGTGCTCACCTCTAGGGAACCTGTGCGCATATCGCTGTATAGTGTTTCATCATCCGCGAGTATTTTAATCGGACAGCGACCGCCTTTCAGCCAGATGCGGCAATTGTCAACGGTGAGGGAGGTGTATTTTGCATCGATGCGATGCAGTTTGGCGACCAGCTCCTGTTTGGCCTGCTCTACGGTGGTTGTGGTATTGTACACCCACTCACAGACGCATGGCAGCTTGGCGGTCTCATTGTCCAGATCAGACAGACGCAAGAAAAATATCTTTGACTTGTACTCGAACGGTTGCAGTGTCTTGCCGAGCTCAACTGTCAGCGTCTCACCCTCGTTCAGAAATACCAGCGAATTGGTCTGATCATTGGATAAAGTATTATTATGCTTGCGTTGTAACTTAAAGTAGGCGCTAGGCACACGTATCAGCTGCTCAATGTGTCGCTCGAAGGTGCTCATACGCATATGAGTGCCCACGAGAAGTTTATAAGCGTGCGTTGGCTTACGCAGTTGAACTTCGTCATCGGATTGATGGCCACTTGTGCTGTTGCTGGCAGCCATATCCACGCAATCGATTTTGATGGCATGAAAAAAGTGAGTAGTTGTGCTGGCTGGCAATGAGTTGGTGTCGCCCGCTTCGCTACCATAGCTGCCATTGCCATTGCAGTAAGCGTGTACGCGCATCATGGTATCATGGGAGGCGGCCTCGTCTTCGGGACTGGACAGTTGTGGTGAATGGCTGGTAGAACTTATTTGGCTATCACCGCCCCCGCGATGCTGTAAGCTATTCTCGACCAGCGTGCGGTCACCATCACTCAGACTGCTGTCCTCCGAGTTGGACTCATGGCCGGACGTCGCTAGCGCCAGCGAATCTGGCTGATCGCGCTTATAACGACGCCAATCACAGTCGTTGTTGCCGGCGCTAACAGCTTCGGGCGTTGCCGTGCCGTTTGTGCCGCTGATGCCGTTCATCATAGAAGCGTCCACTACATCGCTGCCGGCGCTGCCATTGGTGGTCTGCAATGAGGAGAAGAGTTACCTGCACTTTGACAAATTTCTTCAATACTTGCATTTGACGTTAAAAACTATTTAATATTGGCCACAATTTTGTGTCAACTGGGCTGGTCAATGGTCAAGAGACTTACCTCGATGGGAGTGGCAATGGGCTCGCTGCTGGGCACGCCCAGCATCTCGAGACTGCTGGCATCAGTGTTAGGCACATTTAAGTAAAAGTATGTGATGTATTTGAATTGCGAGTTGGCCAATTGCTCTAGCTGTTGTTGCATCTCCAGAGTCGGTTGGGGATCGTACGCAACGAACGCCTTGCAGCGCACAGTGGCAACCACGATATTCTGCTCGTTAATGTGCAAACGTATTGCAATCGAGCGACGCAACACGTCGCCTGACTCCAGCGCTGCTGAATAAACCAGGAAGGGACCGTCCATCGCCATGTTCGAGAGATCTACCTTAAAAACATACCACGTAGTGCCATCGCTGGGATAATTTTCAAACTGCTGATCCTCGGCCCTATACTCCAGCAAAAAGTCCAAATTGCAGTTATGTGAGGAACGCAGCTCCGTTAATGCCGGATCAGTGCAGTTCTCGAGTGACTGTATGATTGTGTCCATGGACGAATCGTATGCAACCAAGCGACAGCGTGAGATCGGCGCAAACTGCTCCACATTGAGCATATCGTGGGCCGACATAAGAACCTTATTCACATCGAAATTCTGCGACAGAAATACACGTGTCATCTCCAGCTTCTTAAGCGACGGATTGTAGAAGTAGACGCGGGCCTTGTACATATTTGGTAGAGCCAGATCTGTTACAGTGATATGCCTTCCCAGACGAGAGGCGCGCGTATCCTCCTCGGCATGTAGTTTAGGCAGAAGAGATTTGATGTGTTCTGGAAAGTCATTACACTTGGCCGCATGCTCGTTTCGCTTGGCGTCTACCTGTCGATACATAAGCATATAAGCATTCGTGCTGGACGTATAGGCGCTAGAGTAATAGCTGCCATTGGGGCCGCCAAATGAGCGCTGAATGTCCTCTTGTGTGATCTGCAAAAGTAAGAGAGAGACATGAAATGTTTGATAGCATCTCGTGAGATTCTCAGCTACTTACCGTGGATACATTCTGATCATTGAAACAGAACCACTCGTCATTCTCAAAGTCTTTGATATAAGCATAGTAATGGCCGCCTGAAGCACTGCCCGAGTGTATCATGATGGCAAATAGCTCATAGAGATATGGACCCGACAGTAACTCCTGCTTAAGTCTCGCCTCCATATTTGCGCTTTTGCCGGTGCTGCTGCTCATGTCGATACCCTCGTCCTCATAATTAATATCGTTTTCATGCTGACTGGAACTGGCCGTGGTTACCACACCGCTGCTTATGTTGTCCTCATCCATGGCAGAGCCACTGTCTGCAGTACTGCAATCGTCCACACTGCTGGTGCCATTCATCTGATACTGCTCGCCCTGTCCATTGCGATTTACAAAGCTGTTCAGATTTAGTTTTTGCGGAAAGGTTACCCTGTGTGTAGAAAAAAATGTAGTTTAAAGAGAGAGTTGTTAAAGATGATTATGTGAATTACCTATCATTCAGTTTGATGCGATGCATTGTCTGATAATCAAAGTCGAAGCGCTTCAGGTGCAGCGTCAGTATGTAGGGAAAGGATTTGAAATGCAGTCCCTTGTGGGCATCGCATTTCTTTTTGCACTTCTCGCATAGATACTGATTGTTGCCATCGAGAGTCTCGGGCTGCACAAATGCACGCAACGCCTCCTCGATGCTGCCGTAGGCGGAACTGCTGCCAAATGGACGAACTGGCAGAGGTATATCGAGGAAAGTATCCTCACGCGTCTTTTCCGTATTGCACTCCAAGCACTTAACATAATCGTTCATTTTTCCCTCATACAGAGTGGATATAAGATTTGCCTGCTTTGTGTTCTTAAATTTATGCTCCAGCGCATCGAACATGACACGACACAGCTCCTGGATATCATGCTGCTGCCAAGCCTCTGTCGAATCCCAACCAAAGCTCCGCGTCAAGTCTGTCGTCTCCACCGATGATTTAGACGATGTTTGCAAATTGAGGAACAGCTTCTGCAGCTGGTAGGGTATATTCTTGGCCTCGTTGTCATTGTCAAATTCCCAGCGATACAGAGCATTACGAAACTCGGGCGTCATATAGAGCGCCTGGAGTAAACTGTTTAGGTAGCAAGTCATTGCTTGATTGACCAATCCGACATATGCTCGAGGTGCAACCCCATTTCGATGCGTCTCTGTTTCTGTATTAGCCGAGGCCACAAAGTCGGCGGCGCTGGTAGTGATGCGCTGCCATGATGCCTCATCACCTCCGAACTTGCGCGATGCAAGTGAGCAATAATACGCCACTTCTCTTTCAAAGTTGGGTTCCAGGGGATCGGTGTCAGTGTCAGTGCCGGTTAACAGATCGAGCTCCGATGGTCCGGCGTTACCGTAGTCGTAAGCTGGGCTCAAGAGCGTGGGACTCGCCGATGCGCCCAATGCTAGATCATCGTCCGACAGCTGTTCAGCATCCGAGACAGGACTTACATTAAACAGCTCTGGGGCCACATCATCAGTGGATGATATGAGGATACTATTTTGCGGCAGCTCCTCCTTGGGCTGTTCGCTTTTTTTAACTTTGGTTAGCGCGTTTTCAGCTATGTCAGCAGCAGAGCTGTTTGTTGCACTTTGTAGCTTCACACCTTCATCCACCTGATCTGTACTCTTCACAGCAGTGTCATTGTTTTCGATGGTTTTGGTTTTCACTTTTGTACTGATCTTGCTAGGCGTTGTGGGTGTGATCGTGGCCGTGGCCGTGGCCGTGCCTTCTGTCCCTAACTCAGCTGCCGTTTCATTTGTGGGACTGACGCTGGTCTTCGTTTTGCTCGGCGACTTTTTCTTCTTCTCTCCCGTTGTTGTAGTCGTGCGCTTCTTTTTCTCGCCGGTTTTTATCGTCGTTGTCGATGTTGTTGTTGTTGTTATTGTTGCAGTGTTTGTCGTTGTCGTGTTCTCTGTTGTGTCTGGCTGCTTGCTAATTGTTGAAGCTGATTTTTTAATGGTCAAATCATAGCGTTTGGCTACATTGCCATCCCACGTGCCCTCTGGCAGCAGCACCAGGTTATTCTTAAGCTTCGGCTCAAAGCCAGGCACATCATACAGCAGCTGGGTATCCAGAGTATTCAGATAAATCTATACAGGTGCGAAATTCATAAGTAAGACCTGACGGCATGAGAATCACATGGGCATACAAAACTCACCAAATCTTTCTCGCCGTGCGGCTGTAGCAGCAGCTCGAATTTTCCATATGCAAACTGTGTGCCGATCAGCGTGATGACGTGCTTCACCGTAAAATGGGCACGTACGACTACATTGATTTTCTTTTGCTGGGAGCCAGGCGTCTGGTCAAAGACGGCGCACTGTGTGCTATCTTTGTTGTCCTTCTCAGCCATGTCCTGGTCCTGGTCCTGGTCCTGGTTGCGCGATGCTAACCAAATGGTTTAAGGCCTGCAAAAATTGCGTTAGAAATAGAAATTTTGAGCGATTGCAAATTAACAAAAGGGCCTGAAAATATGTATAAAAAAGAAACAAGTCAAAGACAGAATGAAAAACTACTGTCATTTCATTTGAGAAGCTGCTTGACAGCGCCTGGCCAGCATAGTCGACCAGCAGCAGCTGGTGAAGAGCAACAAGGAAGCCGCCAGCCCCCGCCCCACACGTGCTGTTCATTGCTCCCATCAGTTGGAAGGGGCCACCCCTAGCCCCGTTGGATCCCTCAGCACCCGCCGCGCATAGACCTCAATTCGAAAATAAACCAAAATCCCATTGCCTGCCTGCTGCTGTTCGCGTTTTTTCGCGCCTTATTTGTACGCCAGCCGCACACAGACAAAAAATCGAGAACATGACTAAGCTTGCACGGAATTTTATAAACAAATTCTGGGGCCGGACGGTATGGCGATATCCATATTCCCTATATTTCAGCTGCTACTGAATTTTCAGCAAGAGCGTCATAATTGCCGCATAAATTGCTCCTACGAATGTCATTCCAAGACGATGTTGCTGTTGCTGTGACTGTTGCTTTCTTTGTTGAACCATTGGGCAACGGGCACGACATTGTAACGGACGGAAGTGCTACAATATATACATATGTGAATATACATAAATATATATATTTATAGTGGGGCATATATGTAGTGTATGACATTTGGCCGCAATGCGCAAAATGTACAAGAACTGGACGTCAGAGGGGCGTACTGTAAGAGATATACTACAAAATATTATATTATTTTGGAAAAGTTCTAAGGCGTAATGGACACAGCGCATAAGGAAAACTTGCAGTTATTATAATCTATACGTTTATATATATATATATAAATATTTATAGTATATCAGCTATATAATGTGTTCTATTATCTGTTGTTCGTCACGAACTCAATTGTCAAAACCAAGCACACAGCTGTTGACATCAATCTGTATCTATTTCTGATAACGCTTCAGCTAAACAAAACAGTTTCACACATTCTTAGAAATTCAAATCGCATACAAAAGGAACGCCTGTCGGAAAAATACCTCTATACTATATATGCCTAGATCTATGTTTACCGGAAAGCTTTGCGCAAATGCGTTAGCAATCTAATTAAATGTCCAAAATGCAATTAGTATTAACGAAATGCGCAACTCTGAGATTTTTTATAAATAGGCGCAGGCCTTGCAACAGACACAAGGCGGGGCAACGACTGTGGCAAGTGCTTTGGCCAAAAGATTAATGCAAATGAGCTGCAATTTCAAACACATGTTGGATGAACGTAAGCATTTATATGATATATAGATATAGATATAGATATAGATGTAGATATAGATACATGTGTGTGTCTGTGGATGTGTGCAGTTGCTGGTACGCTAGAGTGGAATCCAAAAATTTAAATATGCGACCAGCAGAAATCAAAATAAAAAATAAAAAAATTGTGCGTCTAAAAATACAAGAAAAGCGACGACGACGACGACGACAAAAGCAGAGAAATTGAAGAAAAAAACAAATATTCAAAGCAGGGAGCAAAAGTATCTGTCAGATACAATCTTGCTATTTGTAAATTCGAAGGTTTTCGTTACCGAAACACTGCACAAGCCACAACCTATATACATATATATCTACCTATATATATATACATATGTATATATATTAATGTGTGTTTCTAAGTCTGTCAATCGAATATTTGAAACGCACGAGAATTCTCATCAATATTTACATTTGACGCCGATGCCTGGGCGTGACTTGTTCAAAATTTCTATAGAAACGAATTTAATTCTCGATGATTTTTATGTTATTCGCCAGACTAGAAGAGTGTGTTAAGTGTGTGTATTTTAAAATTTTGCATATAGTTCGGGCTATTTTTAAATCATTTTCAGTTTTTGTGGTCGAGACATGCCAAATAGTTCCGATTACTCAGTTATATAGTACACACACCCACACACACACTCGCACACTCACAAATAGAGTAAGGGATATCGAGTTCGAGATATGTCAAGCTTTTATACAGTTCTTTGTACTCCCTATAGATATTACGAAAGAGTTTCTATTTTAAATGTTTTCTATTTTTAGACAAATTGCTAGGGGATTTGCACGTTAGACGATTTAGTAATAACTCCATTTGGAGCGCTAGCACACACGCACACATATACGAGCACATAAGCAGATAGGATTAAGTATATATGTATATATATATATATATATATATGCACACACAAACACACACACACACACCGTCTAATTGCTGCCGAGTTCTTCTATGCGCTATGAAATCCCGCCGTCAACGCAACGACATCGTCTCACGCGTATTCGAGTACTGACCACTGCTGCGATGGCACGAACTGGCGCTGGCGCCCCAGAGTGCACGATGATTGGCTCGATCATTGCCGAACAGCCGGACAGCTGGGTACGCTACAAATTGCTCACTCGATGCAGTTATTCATAGCGGGTGCAGCGCTCTGATAACAATAACAAATGCACACACACACACACACTTAGCGCTATTAGCAACAACTGTTGATAATAAAATCGCAAAATGTGGAACTCAGTTTGTGAGTGTGTGTATATTTTAGGGCTCAGGGCTCTCAGTGGCGTGTAGTCCACCCGACAGTTGTACAGCCCCCAATCTAGACAAATTTATTCAATGAAATAGTCAAGTACGTATACTAGATGGATGTTCTGTATGCCAGAGAGCGGTAAATAGAGAAGAGACAGAAATTTGTGGCGAAAGTGCTATTAATGTTTATACAAAATGCTCTCGCCAATTGTCCGATGAATGACTATTTTTATGTGCGGCTCGGCTGTGCCGCGCCAGCGTCTCATGAGTGACTAAGAAGCGCTGGCCGTGTACCGGCATATGATGCTCTTGGACAAGGCGACGGGGGGCTCGGGCCAGTGGCGATGGGCGTACTTAGCATGTTGGCGAATTTTCGTTTGCGCAACACTCATTGCTAGAGTCTACGGAGTGATTGGGGGTGGTCCTCGGTGGACGGGCGATCGGTCAAGGTTTTGCTTTGGAACGTGACACATTTGACTGTTTGGGTGGCAGAAACTAGTTCAAGCTATGCGTCCTTCAACGTCTTGGCCAAATGTCGGAAAACTTGCGGCTCCAAAATATGCTTGCTCACACATAAACACATAGACACGCACACACAAACACAATCGCATATGTGAGTAGGCATACAGAACACATACATACGTATGATTTCACTTACCTGAACTGTGAAAATGTTGCAATATTGTGTTTTGGTTAAATGCACAATCCGGCCCTACGGCTGGGAATACACAAGTCGAGTAATTTGATGCTATCTAAACTGTTTAAACGGAGGATGCTTGATGTTGACACCAAGTAGCAAACATTTTTATAATTGAAACAAATGTTTTTTGTTGTTCGGCTGCGGTTTGGCTGCAGTTCTATCGATGATAATACCGATAGACTTACATACTGTCGACTATGCATTCGATAGCTCAGTCGTCAGTTGACGAAGAGTATCGATGCTAAAGACGCAATTCGATTATAAATGTATCGATAATTAATATTTAAAGAACTTGGTAAACTAAACAATGCCCCAATCAATAATCGTTGCATTTTTAAAAACAATTTAATACCTACGATTTATTTAGTAAATAGAACGATAGTTATGGCAATGGTTTTAACTTTGGCGCCAATTGTTATCGGGCTGCCAGTTTCCGGATGCAACCCTATTATGCTAGAAGCATCGAGAATTTTCGACGAGCAGACTGCTCAGAGTCTATATAAAGGCGAGGCACGCTGGCAGTTCGAGTCATTTAGCAAAAATCAAGAGAGACGCGTAACTGTGTGTATTCCACACAAGAAAAAAATCAGTACCGTGTATTGAAAACAATATACAGAAAATATTTTAAGACTATAGTGCATTCTACGACTACGTACGATTCATAGAAATTCAAGTAGCAGCAAAATTTTAAAGTTAGAGACAAGTAAAGTGAACTTGAAAGCAGAAAATTAGCACGCAGCTGCCAACTAATTAAGGTGAGAGTCTAACAAATGAATTATTGCTTAAATTAGATTGCTATCAAGCTGTATTTGAGAGGATCACAAGAAAACCATAATAAATATGAGAAGCAAAACAATGCATTTTAGTTAAATGTGAAATTTAAAACCTAAATACAACAGCGTCGACGTCACGCATTGAGTGACAACACATCAGCAGAAGCAGTGACTGAGGCAGCGACAGAGACCGCGACAGCGACAGCGGCAGAGGCAGAGCAGCTTTTCGTTGTCGTTGCACAACTCAAAGCTTCTAGCAAATTCCATTGAGCGACGCGTTGAGAATACAATCGACACATTCTACTGTGCTGTTGTTTTTGCTTTTCATTTAAATAAATATATATACAAATGTACACATATATTTAAAACATTATAATAATTTGTGCTTTCTTTGTTTGCAGTTAAGAGCAGGACGCTAGAGGGAAGGAAAATGGGTAAAGATTTCTATAAGATATTGGGTATTGACAAGAAGGCCACAGACGACGACATTAAGAAAGCGTATCGAAAATTGGCACTTAAATACCATCCCGACAAGAACAAGAGTCCACAGGCCGAGGAACGCTTCAAGGAGATCGCCGAGGCATATGAAGTGCTCTCAGATAAGAAGAAGCGCGACATTTTCGATCAGTATGGAGAGGATGGCCTGAAGGGCGGTCCACCTGGCCAAGAAGGTTGCGGTCCTTCCGGTGCCTACACTTATCAGTTCCATGGAGATCCACGTGCCACTTTTGCACAGTTCTTTGGCTCACAGAATATCTTTGGCACGGCGGATCCATTTGGCCCATTCTTTGGAGGCGGCTCCGGTGATGGCACCGAACAAGTGTTTATGAACATTGGCGGCGATGAGATGTTCGGCGGTGGCGGCTTTGGTGGCAACCCCATGGGCGCCTTCCGTTCACAATCGTTCAATGCACAGGCGCCTAGCCGGAAACGTCAGCAACAAGACCCGCCCATCGAGCATGATTTGTATGTGACACTGGAGGAAGTTGACAAAGGCTGCACAAAGAAAATGAAAATCTCTCGCATGTCCATGGCCACGGGCACGGCGCGCAAAGAGGAAAAGGTGCTGAGCATCAATGTAAAGCCCGGCTGGAAGGCAGGCACCAAGATCACATTCCCCAAAGAAGGCGACCAGGCACCACAGAAAGTGCCCGCGGATATCATCTTCATCATACGAGACAAGCCGCATTCGCAATTCAAGCGCGAGGGCAGCGACTTGCGCTACATCGCTCCACTCAGTCTAAAGCAGGCGCTGTGCGGCGCTTCGGTGTCGGTGCCGACGCTGCAGGGCGACAGCATACGTATATCAGTCAATACGCAAGGCGAAGTCATCAAACCCACGACAGTGAAACGTATTAGTGGGCGTGGCTTGCCTTTCCCCAAGGAACCATCGCGGCGTGGCGACCTGATTGTCGCTTTCGACATCAAATTCCCCGATACAGTGTCACCCAGTTTAAGAAATCAACTTGCGGAGCTGTTGCCCAACTAAAGTAGACCATGTAGAGCTTTAATCACCTGCAAAAATTTGTATAGTATATGTTATAGTTTAAGCTCTAATTTTAGTTAACAATCCTTATCCTAATACTGGGAACACAAAATTCATTTGTCGGCTGAGGCTTGTGATGTTTTACCGTACAACGCATAGCATGCCAAAACTATGGTTAAGAATTTCCCTGTTGATTCTATATCTCCCCAACTTAGAGCCGATGTAGATATAAATGCAAATGCAACACCTTAGAGTCGCGTTCGAGCGATAAGATAAGATATGAAAATACAAAACACTGATTCACTTACACATTATGTATAAGATAGCTGAAAGTGTTTTGAGCTGGAGACTGATCGGTTACCTAATTATGTTTATTAAATACCGCATACTCTAAAACAATAAATCCAAATAACTATATTGTAATGCCAAATTGTTGAAACTGTTTCCCAAATGTAATTTACTACAAAGCAAGCATATCTGAAACAATTCTACTTCGTGACACCAGCCAGCTCCTCCCAACAATATCTAAAAGAAACACTCCGCTCTTAGGCACATGGGCTATTATTAAACATAAAACAAGAAAACACACACATACAATTAAACTAGTACGTTTTAGTACGATAATTATTTGTAAAATAAAAAAAGAGAAAAGTATTTAATAAATTAATTACCATAATGTTAACAGTTTCCTTTTATTTAGCTTTTAGATATGTAGCTGATGGGAGTTTGCATTCAGTGGAAACAAAACTTATCAAAGTACGGCGATTCTAATTGGATGTTCAAATGTCTAGTCTATTGTAGAAATTTCGCTTGCTTACAATTGGACTGCGCATTTTCTAGAAACTGCTTTCAGCATACGTTGCAATCTCTACAGATTAGATTCTTATTGGAACTGTGAATAATGCATTGAATTGGATTTTGTGCAGATGGAATTATATTGGTTCTTATTAGTTCTTACCTTTAAATGAAAGCTTCTATGGATTTTTGTTGAAATTAAGCTTTATTTTTTAAACCTGTAAGCCCATCCAGTAAAAGAAAATAGTAAATTTTTTTATTTTTTTTTACTTTCACATTTTATTTTGTTTTTCTTTTTTTGTTCATTTCAAAAGGATCTTTGTAATTTATTCATTTTCACATATTTTCACTTTCCTTACTTTGAGTGTTTTGTTAATTTGCTTTTTGCAATTGTATAATAATTTTTGTTTTTGTCATTGTGTATTTTTTGTTGTATATTTCATTTCATTTTGTTTTTGTTTTCAAAAATTATTAACATCGATTGCATGTTGTTGTTGTTGTTGCAGTTGTTATTTATATATATAATAAAAATTGAATTCTTTAATGCTTGTTTCATTTTATTTGTTTTATAACTAGAATTGTTTTTGCTGTTTAACTTGTTGTTGTTGTTTTTGTTGCTATTGTGTGTCAACTTGCTTATGCATGTGTGTGTGTATGTGTGTGTTTTTCTCTTAGTGTAATACGTTTTTTCTTTTCTCTTGTTGTTGCCATCTTTCGCTATTCAATGCTGCTTCTGCTCTATCCAAAGTAAACGTGTGAATAATATTAATCATAATGAAATCAATAACAATTGTATAAACAAATTAAGATACGCATACTATTAACAATTTGTTAAACGCACAACTTGCCAAGGCAGAGAGAAGCGGCCCGAACTAAACTAAAGAAGTGTCGCGTACAACTATACATATATTAATTAATATTCATTAATATATATATATGTATATATATAAATATTTATATATATATTTAAAATGCATTAAAAATAGTCAAATGTGTACAAAAAGTTTATACTATTTCGAATGATTTCCATATATATATATACTTAAACATCTTCTGCTGCTGCTGCTTCTTCAATTAAATAAGTTCTTTAATTTAACTATTTCATTTGACTAAAGTTTCCAGCTAGAAAACTGCGACTGTTCTGCATTTCATTTCATTTAATTTATTTTATTTACTTTTATTTGTTGTTGTCAAACTTATATAAACAGTAAAAATTATGTTAAAATGTTGCGATTTCTTGTTTGATTAACATTCATTCATTTTATCAATTCTTGCATATATTATTTTATGTTTTATTTCTGACTCGATTTTCTTTTTTTTGCTTGTATTTTAATTGAAGTTTTGTTTTTGTTGTTTTTTTATTTTATTTTAATTCAATTTGCTTGGAAACCTAAAAATGTTTTTTTTTTCTTTTGATTATGTTTCGATTTTGTTTGTGTTTGAGGAGTTGACAAAATGAATGCATGATATTCCACACTCAAGCGCACTGCGAACGTGGAGGAGTCGCTCCACTGCGGCTACAGTGCACACACGTTTTGATGAGCTGGCATTTGAAGTTCATTCAGCAATTGGTTTTAGTTTCTTATTTCTGATTCGAATAACATTCAAACGGCATTCACAACCAATATAATTATTATTTTTCATTATCAAAGGAAAAGATTAAAAAAAAAAACGTTTTTGTTTAAATGAATTTGAAATTTGTTTTGTGCTCAACTTTTTGGGGTCGTTTTCTTTTTGTTGTTCTATGGAATTTAGCTATGCCTGTATTTGTGTTTTTGTCGAGTGAAGTTCTTAATTAGTATTTATATTATTGTAATTTAGCTAGAAGAGTGTTTCCTTTTGTTTTTCTCGCAGTGTATAGTGTTTTTGCTTCTTATATAGCTAGAACCTCATTTGCTTTCTTCAAGTGTTTTCTGCTCGCGCTTAACAAGTTTCGGTTTTCTTTTGCTGTATTTGGCTGCTTTTTGTTGGGATTTGTGATCCTCGACTCGAATTCGCATTTCGAAATTCAAATTTCGATTTAGTGTGAGTGTGTGTGTTTTTGTGTTATAAATATGTTTGTTTAAGTGTATGGAATTCTCTTGGTTTTTGTTTTTGTTTTCTTTTAGTTAGTATTACTTGTTAGTTTAACATTTTGACTAAATTTTTTCTATTTTGGTTTTTTGTTTTATTAGTTTAATGCGTGTGAAGTTTCTGTATGGTATTTTGTTGTTTTTGTTTTTGTTTTTGTTTTCATAATTGTTTTTCTTTCAGTGTACTGACTACAAACTAAACATTTTGCTGTGTTTGTTGATTTGCTTTTCGTGTTCGCTTAACTCGCTAAGATTTTTCTCATTTATTTTTATTTACTTTAAATTTGTTTTAGAACGTTTGTGTAAAGTTTGCATTTTAAATATTTTTTTTTAAATTATTTTGTTTGTATTTGTATTTTTTTTGTTCTTTTATTTTTTGGTTTTCATTTGAAATTGCCTAAGCCTAAATACAATCAATGTTTCAATTTGTTCACGTTTTTCTCCTCAATAAATGTATTTTAAATCGAAATTTACTTTTCAAGTCTTTTTCAGCGACAAATGCATTTGAATTTGTTCACATTGTTTATTTAATATTTGTTTTTATTTTGTTTTCTCATTAAATTGTTTCGCTCAAAATCCTTTGCTATATTTATACGTTTATTATATGTGTTTGCACATTTAAATACAATCGATATTATGTAAATCAAAGTCTTGTCTTTGTTGTTCCATTCAAAACGTAAACAAAAAACAACAAACGTTTCTTATCGCTCTTCTGCTTCTGCTTCTTCCTCTTCTTCTTCCTCATTCGATGTTTTCATTTTATTTTTCTTTTATGTTTAAAAAACAATTCGAAACTTTTTCACTTTGTTCGAAAGCAACTTTAACATTTCTTTCAGTATTTTTCAATTGTTTAATAATAAATAAATTGTAAATCTTATTTATTATTATTTTATATTTTCTTTTTTTGCAAGTGGCTTTGATTTTCGTTAGAGGGATGGGAAAGGGGGTGAAAAAGTGTTAGTTCGTATTGTTAGTGTGTTTCTGTTCTCCGCACACTTGATTAGTTAAAATGTAACAAAGGAAGTTTAGTTACTTTTACTTATTCGCTTGTTCTTTTTCATTATTTTGTTTTTCATTTGCATTTGTTTTGCTTTTTCTGTTTTAATTTTTCACATCGTCTTTGCGGGTTGTTGACTGTGGATCTGTGCCTAAATTTATCATGTCTCGTGGTTTCCACACCGGGGACCCTACAATTAAATGAAAGAAAAAGAAAAGATACAATGGAAACCATATATGGAAAGAATATGAAATTGTCTGCAGAACTTCAGAGAGTCGGTTCTGAGAAGCGGCAGGAGTGAAGAGCTCTCCTTGTTCAATTATTAAAAATACATTTCACTTGCGTGTAACAGTTCAAAGTTGTTAGCCAATTTACGGTCGAAAAGCATGCAGGCGCCGAGCGTTGAAAGTATTTCGATCGGATCACAAATACTTTCAGCGCTCCGCATTTATCTTAAATAAAATGTAAGCAAAACTAATTTTATTTATTTTTTTAAGATGCATAAGAATGAAAACTACTTTTTGGCTAAGGGGTGGCTTAGTGGTGTGGGGGGTACTGCAACAGCTAGGCTAGAAATGAACTAATTAAGAATTTGTTTAAAGTTAAATTTCTTGTTGTTGTGGGATCAAGTTTAGTTCTGTGGGTTTCAAAATGTTGACATCGCTTGGTTTTCTTCTTCTTCTTCTTATTTTTTGTTACTTGCTTTGTTCTTTTTATATATAAAATATGTATATAGTTATACATATATATGCTTTGCATTTAAGTTTTAAACAAATTGTTCGAATTTAATCTTTATCAGTTTTGCATTTTATGCCAACATTTTTTTTGTATATTTGTTTTGTGTTTAGGGTCAAAAAGAAAGGAAAACAAAACAATCAAAAATATATTTGTGAGAGCTCTTTTAAAGAGAGTGAGAGACAGAGAGAGAGAGAGAAGTGCAAGAAGCTAGAGCAGTTGCAATAGCTAAATTTTGATTTGAGTTTCCAAAAAAAAGGTTTTAATTTTATTTTATTTAATTTTTTAGGGCTTTGTTGTGCTTCTCAATGGATTTTTTGTACACAAAAAAATGCAGTGCAAAAGCAAAATAAAATTTTGTTTTTTTTTTTGCCATTAAAAATGTTGGAAAATGAGAGAGAGAAAAGTGAAGGAAAGTTGTGGAGGATTATCTTTTTATTTATTTTTTTTTTGGTATTTGGATTTTGGTTCTCGGTTCGTTGTGGGGACACGTGTGTGTAACCATAAGACATTTATATATTTTATATATATGTTAATATTATATAATGCACGGCTTTTGTTTTCAGCTTTCAGTTTTCATTATTATTGGCACACTAATCATAAATCTGGCACAGTTGTTGTCTGTTTATTGTTTGGTTTGTTTGTTTGTTTCGATATAATTATAAGAAAATGCAAAACAGATTATTGTAAAATGACGAAAGTTGTTGAAAAGGGTAAAACTTGCTTCATTTCCATTTGAAATTCAATTGATTTACTAATTTTTATCATTTAATTAATCAAGCGATGCCAACTAAATATAAATACATATACATATATATATATATATATATATATATATATATATATATATATATATATATATATATATATATATATATATATATATTTATATTTTTATTAATATACTTAAGTGTTGTTTTTGTTTCTGGTGTTGTTGCTTTATTTAACTGTATCGCTTAGGCACACAACCTATGAAAACTTAAATATGTTTAACTATATATATATATATATATATATATATATATATGTATATATATATTGGTATATATATATCTTCAAGATATTTTCTAATAACAAAACTTAAATATCACCCGTTAAATTGTTTAACTGCTAATTCGCATTTAATTCATAATTTGTTGCTAAAATTTACATAAACTTTAAATCAAAAAGCAAATGCACTTACCTGCTAAAAACATTAACTAAATTTTTATGCTTTAACTAAGTTTTCTGTTTGGGCACCTAAAATATAACTGTTCAGGGGTGTGGGGAGGGGGCGTGGTCGTGTCATACTGTCACTGTCCGAAGAGCACACCGACATCGATTTCAATTGTTGTTTGATTAGCCATTCCGTTTGGTTCAGTTTGCCTTTGCCATATTTGCAAGCTTAATTAACATTTTATTTAATTTTATTTAATTTGTTGATTTTTTCTTGTTGATTTTAGAGCTTTTGATTATTATTTGATTTTGATTATTTATTAAGTGGTATACGGTTTTTCCTCGACATTTCGACATTTCGACGATTAATTTAATTGGTTTTTATTTAGAGATTATTTGCTTTGCCATTTAAATGTATTATTTACTTTGAATTATTGCACGTGATATTTTAATCGTAGTTTAGCTAGCCATGTATATGTATGTCTTGTATATATAGTTAGTAGTATATGCTGTCTTATAAATCGTATTTCGTATATATTTTGATTTTTTCATTTTGATTTTACTGCTGTGAAGCCCAGTGTAAACTGTAAACGCTTTTCTTTTTGTAGATATCTAAGGAATTTATTTTTATTTATTTATTTTATTTTTGTTTTTTGTTTTTTTTTCTTGCTTTTGACTATTTTTGAGTATAGCTTGAACAACCTGACATTTGATCTTTAAGTCCGTCTTGGGTCTCTATGTATATAAGTGTGCCTCCAGTTATTAGACACCCAAACTTATGCTAAATATGTGTGTATGTGTGTGTGTGTCTGTGTTGTGTATGTATGCGAGCGAGGCAAGAGTAGAGCGAGTGTTTGAGTATTTGGGACTTTTTGGTATATGGACTGTTTGAATTGGAAGATCTTCTGGGTCATTTGCTCATGCCTGCTTGCCCTGATTGCTAGTGTATATATATATGTAGCTCTAGGTATATTTGTTTTATATATTATTAAATTGTTTTTCGCTTTTTTTTTATTTTTGTAATACATAAACATTGAGGTACGACTTACGATTATCATTCTTCAATTTATTTTCTGTTTTACCTGTTAAATTTGCCTATGAAAAATGTAAGTGATTTGCATTTGCAATTTATTGTAATGAAATGTCTTTAGTTAATGCAAAATTATTTGTCACAACACCCACACATAATTTGAGATTTGTTTTTTTTTTGTCTAACTAGCTATGGTAAATATTGATTCATATTTGCTTTTATTGCAGTACAATGTATAATGTTAACCTATTGAATGTTGCCAACCCGCATTTTCACTTAGTCTTTAGCTAAAATACGCACAAATATTTTTGTGTCTGTTTTTTACCTGCCACCAACGCCCACCTGCTGCCTGCTACCCGCTACCTTTCAGCTGCAATCATTTCTCATCTTGCGAGCCGTGGTAATTAAAAAGTTTTCCTTACGTTTTCGGAAATGCCAGTGACACAGTTTGCACAGCTAATAGTTGGAACGACTGACATTACCTACAACTTTTATTCTATATCTATGTGTGTGTGTGTCTATATAGTGTGCGTGTGTGTGTGTGTTTGTTAGTAAGTTGGGCATGCATGTCTCTTAGTTTACTTGAGTGCGAGTATGAATTTCAACTTTATAGTTTTTAGTCGTAATTACGCCACTTGAGCATTGTGTGCAACACGGCGTATGCGCCATGTGCGTTTACGTAATGCGTGCACATTTCTTCTGCTACTACTCCGTCTGCCTCTTCTTCTTTTTAAATATATAAATCATAACCTTACAAATTACGCCTGTCCCAAAAACCAGGAAATTTTGCATTTGCTCTCTGCGTGTAAAAGGAAAATAATTAACCTGATGTGCCACACACACACACACACGCACACGCACACACGTATGTTTGTATGTAAGTTGTGCTGTGAACTTGTAGTTTTTTGCTGTTCCTAAGCGCTAAACCAATAGCTTTTGCTGACTTAAACCTAAACACTTAAACATGACTCTTAACTGTGCTGTGTGTGTTTGTGTTTGTTGTGTGTGTGTGTGTGTGTTTATTTTTTCAATCCCTTGTGTTCAAGTTTTGATTAACGTTGTATATATATAGTATATATATAGTTTGCATTGGAGCTTACGTATATGTTAGTACTTTGTTGTAGAGCTGAGCGGTTTTATTTTGTTTTTATTTTTGTATAATTTTTGAGGCATTTCGGGTTGCTGTTGTTGTTATTTATGTTATCTTTGGTTGCGCTTTTGTAATGAGTTTTGTTTTAACTAGTCGTAAATTTAAACTTTAGTTCAACGGTCTCATAAAATCCCTGTTTATGTGTCTCTTCCTCACTCGGTTTGCGTCCTTGGCTCCCAGTCGAGTCCTTAGACATGTATCTCGAAATAGTCGTGACAATCGACACAGCCGCCTGCCTGGTCACCGCCCATGTCCGGCATGTAGCCAATGCCGCCGCTGGCCGTGGGCTGTGTGCTAACCACCATGCCTGGCATGCCGGGCATGCCGCTCAGTCCGCGTGGCGTCTTCTTCCGCGTGCGACTCTGCCGCACGCGGGACTTATGCTAGGAGGGTCGCTTCTGGTACAGACAGTCAATGCATGTGGTGTACTCGGGTGCCGAGGAGCTGAGCTGATACATCGACTGCTGTGCGGGATCATGCTGACAACTCGGCACCGGCGGCGGCTGCCCATAGCCCCCCATCTCCATCTCCTGCATGTAGCTAACCATGGGCAGATATTGCTGTGGCGGCTGCCTGGGCAGCGCATCGTAAATGGGCTGCGAGAAGGTGTTCTCTGCGGACTGGGAGCGCAGTGGCCCGGAACTATAGACAACATAGTTGCGCTCTGGCGAGACGCCATAGGCGCGATAGGAGCTGCTCGTGGTGGTGCTGTCACGCGAAGTGGATCGTTCCAGAGACTTGCTCAGCCGACTGCGCCCATTGCCCGAGCCATATCGGCTGCTAGTGGGTGCGGCGGCCACATAATGATCGCTGCACGTCTGATTGTCATATACCGGATAGTATTGATATGTCTCCTGGGCGTGCGGCTTGTTGCCCGTTTCAAAGCTGCCGTGGGCAGACATGCTGCGCTTACGCGAGCCACCGCCGCCGCCGTAGGGCACATCCAGATTATGATCGGAGCCGCCATGGCTATCGAAGCTGCTGCGCGGCGAATGACGCTGGCAAATGCTGGCCCGATCTGGCGACAGGTGATCCACGCTACCACGCGGCGAGATGCGCGGCGACAACGATGTCGTTGCTGGCTCCGAGCTGCACACATGCGAGGGGCCGCTCTTCTTCAGGCAGCTGCGATCGGGACTCTTTGACTTGGCCGGACTGGCTGGCGGTTTCAGTATGCCGGCACCGGGACTTGTGTGCTTCAGGATGCCGCCACCCTCGGAACTGCGACGTGGACTGGGCGTGCGTCGTCCGCCGGAGAGGCGATCCTGCGAGTTCTCGCGACTGGAGCAGATGCTCAGGCGCTTGCCCTGATCGCTGACGCTGTTGCGTGGCGACTTGATCTTTATGATGCGCACTGGCGAGCTGCCCTGGGACTTGCTGCGATCTGGCGAGATGTAGATGCTCTGACGCTTGCCGCTCTTCGGCTTGCTGCCTGTCGCCGCGGCTGGTCGCTCCGGAGACTTGGCCTTGAAGATTTTGTCCACCTTCTTGTCGATGACAACGATGTGCGAGGCCAGCGAGCTGGTGGGCTCATCTTCGGTTTCATCGCCGGAGCGCTCCGAGGGCCCAGTCGTATTGCCAGTGCTGTCCGACTCGGTGGCAGGTCGCGAGGGCGACTCAATGTCCACGGTCACAATCTGCTGAGTGTTCTCCACAATGGTCTGTGGCTCCGGCGAGAGACTGGAGTCGTTTTGCTGCTGATCGGCAGCCTCGTCGCCAGCGTCGGCTGGCTTGAAGGCCTTCTCGCGCAGATTGGCCATGTAGGTGACTATGTCGCATATGCCCGCCGCCAAGTCCTCCTGCTCAAGCTCGCATAGATGCTTGTCCATGAAACGCGCCGTGGCGTCTGTTTCGGCCACATGGCCAGTGGCTGCGCCATTGCTGGCATCGCGTTCGCGGCGCTTGTGCTGTGCCTCGCCACCTCTCGGATGCTGATGCACCACGGCCACCTGCTGCGAGGCAGCCAAGCGCTCGGCTTCGCTCTCGAAGATCTCAATTACCTCGATCTCCTGCTTGGGCGACTGGCGGGGCGATTGCCGCGGTGACAAGTGTCTCATGGTCTGGCTCTGAGCCGGGGTCTGTGTCGGGTTGGGGGTCAGAGTAGGAGTCGCTGTCGAGGTCGGGGTCTGATTCGGATTCGTATCGCTACAGATTGTTGTTGTTGTTGTTGTTGAAAACAAGCTACCACTACTGCCTAGACTTAGATTAAACGTGGCTGCCACGTGAACTGCATGCGCCTCGGATTCCGACTCGTGCTCAGACTCGCTGGCAACGACGTCTAGGCTGCTCTTACCTAGATCCTTCATTAGCACCGGCTGATAGCTGGCCGGCGGATGCGATGATTGTATCAAGCGCGCCTGGCTGCCAGTGCTGCCCACCGAGAGCGTCGATGTGGTGCTACATGATGTGATAATAAGAGGGAGAGAGAGAGAGATGTAGCAACAAATCAAGCGATAAAGGAGCTTCATGAGGAGTTCAAGTGAAATAACTACCAGACCAGACCGTCAGCTACTCTGGTTGATTAATGGAAGCTTAGTCGACTCGATTCGCATTCAATTACTTTTATTTCTATCATCTGGCAGTTATTTCGGCATGGCAATTACTACCAGTGAAGGCCAAGCATAGCCTACTGAGATTTGCAGCTCACCTGAGCGTCAGGTGATTGGGCGTGCGGCCCAGCGTAGCCTTGGGCCTGATTGTGCCCTGCTGTGAGTCCTCCTCGCCCTCCGACTTGGTGCCCGGATCGATGCGCTCAATGTCGCTGCTGTGATGATGCAAATGCGGCTGCCTTATGGGTGGCGGCGGTGGCTCGCGTGGATGCGGATGTGGATGTGGCGCCATTGACTGTTGCTGCAACTGCTGCTGCTGCTGTTGCTGCTGCTGCTGCGGCTGCTGCGCATCTGTGGGCGAGCAAATGATTTCTTTATGTGCATGATGCGATGCCATGATGATATATGCGTGGATTACTAGTCAGCCAGCAATGGGACAGTCGCTCAACTTACCTGTCACATCGCCCAGCGTCTTGCTGCGACTGCGAAAGCCGCCTGGCTGTGGCAGCGGCTGCTGCTGTTGCTGTTGCTGCGCGTGGGAGTGGGGCACATAGTGCACCACGCCGCCCACGCTCGGTGGCAGCTCATCGCCCTCCTGGCTGCCCGACAGATTGTCGTAGTCAATATTGCCCGCCGAGTGCCGCTGCGAGCCGGACTTCTTCTTGGGCTTGCCCAGCGTATGAGAGCCATGCACAATGGTGATCTGTGAAGTGCGGCAAGTGCTTAGCAGCTGGCCGGCCACGCTCGGATGCAGTCGATTGACTTACCTGCTGCTTGGGTCGCTCGAGCGTTTGCGAGTTGCCCGCATAGCCGCCCATTTGGGAGGATAGACCTGACACGGAGCCGGAGCTGCCGCCAAAGTTCTTCATGGGAATTGACATGTTGCGAACGCTTTCGCGTATTATTTGCCTGATGGTCTTGAGGAATGCATTGCGAAAATCGGCGGTGCTATTGGACAGCACATAGACCTTCTCCGAGCGGCGCTGCAGCTGCGAGCGCAGGTGGATTAGCTCCCAGAGGAAGTGCGAGTCCATGTCCTTGGCAGAGCTGGCGCGCACCTGCACTTCGGTAACGGGTATTAGCACCTGATAGCGTATGATTTCCACCTCATTTGGTGCATTCTTGCTCGAAACGCCCTGTGTGAAAGCAAACGGCATTTAAATTGGCTTCAAGCGGAGTCCTTATGCCAGGCCATTTACTCACCATTAGCTTCTTCTTTTGGCGCAAACGCTCTTTGCAGAGGAACACAACCGCCGATTTGAATACAAAGCACATGGCATGCAGCTCGAGGCCTTTCTTGATCTTGCCCAGAAAATCGGAAATGTTTAGCCACTCGACGCCGCCATAGTAGAGCAAATCGCCTGGGAATGCGCAGCATTGCGGGGGAGGAGCATTGGCATTGGCATTTGAGGCTGATGTAGCTATTGAATGCGTTTGGTGTAACCCACCTGGACTCAAGTCGATTGGCTGCTTGCACGACTTCTGATGCTGCCGGAACAGATGATCGAAAATGGCGCCATATTCCTCATGAATGCGCTGCATCTCATTTATGTGCTCCGCCACCTTCTCCATGCCCTTGAGTGCCTCTGTGGAAACGCCAAGGGATATTAGCATTGCCAGCAACCAACAGTCAGCGTCAGCGTCAGCGTCGGCGTCGTTAGCTACTTACCGCACAGATGAATGTGCTCGTCGGCGCGCGTATCTGTTAGATTGCGCATCTGCTGCAGGAGCAGCGGATATTTGAGGATGCGTTGTATGGGCTTGATCAGATACGATTCCAGAGTGCTGCTGTGCTGCTGTTTGGGATTGCGTGCGGCAAGGAACTCCTGCAGCGCGTGGTTGCCCTCATCTGCAGCAAATGAGAAAATTTCGATTGATGCTTAACAATTGCAATATTGAGACAAATTTGGCAAATGATTTGATTTCAATGCGCACTTCAATTTCCATTAATTGCGAAGCTTCAATAGGGGCACAAAGAGAGCGTGAGAAAGGGAGACAGTGAGAGAGAGAGAGAGAGGGGGGGGGGGGGGAGCTTCACGGGAATAGGCTTCACGTGCACAACGTTGACAAGAAAATGTCATTAACTTGTTCTTATAGTCAGCTGAGAAGCTTTTGATAAAGGCACAGTCAAAGCCTGTCTGCTGCACGGATTTGCGTCTAATGGCTGACGTCCCTGGCTCGCCCACTCTCTGGTCCTTTTTGCCTGCTGCTTGTAACGAAGGCACTTAAGTGCACTTCTTGCTATAATTAATTATCCTTTCAACTTTTTGCATAAAATTGCATGCAACAGCCAAGCGCAGCAGCTCGAGTGTCTGTCATACCTAAAGCTCAAACTTAAGTTGACAAACTCTGTGCTCCAGCTTTTGCCACTGCAAATGCTTTTTCTCTTGTTCCTGCTCCTGCTCCAGCACCAGCTCCTGTTGCCGGCAGCTGCTTAGACAGCCATTGATTGCAAATATTGCAAATTTTTACCTTAGCGCTTTACTGTTGCTGATTTTTGCTGTCGCTGTCGTTAATAAGTTCCTTTTTTCTTACTTTATGTAATTTTGCAAATTCCTTTCTCCACTCACTTTGCTCAAGGTATTATATTATAGAACATTATCAACAACATTTTCAACTTGTTATGCATAAAAGAAATCTGCTGTTAAGCTATTAGGATTTAAGTGAAACTAAGCGCTTCGATCTGGGCTGAACTCTGAGCAGCCTATGGCTGAGTTCTTTGAGCTTCTTCTTACCTAAGAGAGCGGCTAAGGCTGTTTTTGTTGCTAGCTTTGAGATAAGTTAATATAGCTGCTATAGACAAATCTTATTATACACTTAAAGCATTACATAAATTATTTATCCAGCTCTGAATTTGAATCAAAATCTCATTTGCCCTTATCGCTAGGCTCTACTCTAAATCTACTAAATTTCAGCTGCATCTAAAATCTAATTACTTTCCTTTATTACTAACACATGTGAGGCAAGAGCATTTCAAGTTCGGCATTGGCACAGCTAACTGCTGCTGCTGCTGCTGCTGCTGCTGGTTTGCTCTCTTGCCGTCTGCTTCCCATTTGTGGCACTTGTGTTTGCTCGACTGTTTTTAAGCTGCCACTAAGTCTAATTTAATTATGACATGTTGTCGCCTAAGCTAGACTCTCGCTAGAATCTGCCGCCCACGCGAGAGTCTGGAGACTGAAGTCCGGAGTCCCGCTAGTCTCTGTCGCTCTCTATGCTCGAGCCGCAGCTGTTTCGGCTGGCTACGGCTGCCTTTTATGCGACTCGTTTGCGGGTTGGCTGCCACAGCCAGTGGCAACAGCGTGGCATAGTTTTTGGCAGCCCCGCTTTTGCCCATTTGCCAGCGTGTCATAATTCTACAAGTTTAATTAACAAAAGATACTTGACAGTTGCTGCTGCTGCTGCTGCTGCTGCTGCCATGGCATGAATATGAATATGCCACGCCTTGCCGCCTTGCAGCCTTGCCCGGGAATTTGCCGCTTTGTATACTTCGCCACGTCTACGCATTTGCGGTTGTAATTATTCATTTAACTTGCAAATCATTTAAAGGCTCAGCTTGTGGCAGGGGCGCAGCATCAACAGCAGCAGCTGCGTCAGCCACGGACAACAATTGAAGCGCATAGTTTGCCAATTGTTCGCAACTTGTCGCTTGTTTTACTTTTAAAACTTTTCCGAGCAGATGCCCCAGCGCCCCAGCTCCCCATCCCTCCATGCACCCCATCCAATTCAGTAAACTTCAAACTCAAATAGACTTTGACGCTTTACGCTGATTGCAATAGTTGAGCGCCCACACACACACACATGCAGAGCGAAATGGCTCATAATATATGGATTTATGCATATATGGTAAATACTTTTCTTTTGAATTGTCATGCGACACGTCTACGAATTTGCCTGCCTTTCGTTCGCTTTGAATTACGGTTTATACACATGTAAATGATTGCGTGAAAACAAGCTAAGAGCAGGCAGTGATTTTTTACCCGGGCGCACCATGCGTATGAGTGATTTGATTACGCATACGCCTGGTGTTTGCGGACTTCCATTACAGAATCAATACGGAAATATACATATTTGTCAATTTTGAATATTTTTAATAGACTTTCAACTTAATTGCGTAATGCAGCTAGAGAAAATCTATTTATTATTTATTTAAATTGGTTTACTCGGATTCTTAAAGCCGGATTGCTTTCAGTCTAATGGAATTTTATGTAAATAGTTTGTATGTACTTACTTGGATGTAAAACCTTTTGGGCCTTGCTGTGGCTGGCGCAGAACGAGGAGTACAGCTTGAAGTGATTGACATAATAGAGAAAAGCCGAGCCAATCGCAAACAAGACGTTCTGTATAATGAGAGGCAGAGAGAGAGAGAGAGAAAGAGAACAAAAAGCAAAAAGAGATTAAACATGAAAACACACATATAAAATAAATAAAAAGAAATTTGAATTAGTTAGGCGAGTCACGCACGCACGCCGTCCGGATAAACTTACCCTGAACTGACCGCAGTGCTCGAATTTATTGAATTCCGGCTCAAGTTCGAGCGCTTCTTCGAGATTTTGCAGAAACTGACGCTGGAATGTAACAATTTCGTGTATGTTGCCAAAGAGCGCATTAATTTCCGCATTCGATAGAAACGTTTCGCGTTTCATAGGCTCCAGATAATGCTCCAGCAGATTGTTCAAGTGCTGCAAACAAAAATAATTCAAATGTTGTTCTTACACTTTCCTCTTCTACTGCTTCTTGTTGTTGTTCAATAAATTCAAATTTGTTGACACATAAAAAATGAAAAATGAGTAAAAAAGCAAGCAACAGCCAAAAAAAAAAAAATGAAACGAAACGAAAGATGCATAAATTAAATTAAAAAATCAGCAGCCCAAGAACGACGACAACTGCCCACAACAGCGCCCCCAAAAAACTCCCAGCTGAACTGAGCTGGGCTGCGCTGGGCTGGTTTGGGCTGAGCTGCGCTGGTGACCAGTTCGCTGGCTCGAACAACTTTTTAGTTTTGCCCACAACAACAACGCAAAAGGCGAAAAAAAGTAAATAAAAATATGGGAAAAACTGTAGCATAGCCGCAGGCGCGCGCTTTCATTTGGAACAATACTTCCGGCCAGCGGATAGCTGGGAATGGGGCATGGCCCGAGCAGTCGGGCTACTGCCAGAGAGATAAGACTCGCCGCAGCGGCGCGGCGCGGCGCGGCGCTTTACATAATTTCTAAATTATAATAATTATTTGTATGCTTCCTGGCGAACTCGAGCGACCGTGGCTTAAAGCCAGCAGCAGAGCCGCATGGTTAAAGGACTCAAATTTGCATTTTTAATTGCAAGCCAAGACTAATGAATGGAATGTGTAATATTTTTTTGGCCGACAAGCAGAGCCAAGAAATAATAGTTATCTACAGCTGAAAGGTGCCAGCCAGACAATGTGGCGGCAGCAGGTGCAGCCAGGCTTATGAATATCGAATTAGACGAAAAAACTGAGCCGTGTCGAGTGCCAGGCCTTCAGCTCGCATATATATACTATACAGGTTTAATCTTCTTCGTTTCATTTTGAATATGAAATAAAAACTGCACGCTGCAGGCGCACGCAGCGCAAACAACCAAAAGAAAAAGAAGGAGAAAACTAATTTAATGCGATAATATAATCATAGAGTGAACTTACCTTGACGTAGGTGCGTTCCGTGTCCACCAGCTCCATGATGACTTTGCGCAGTTTCTCGGCATCGGTCAGCTGGCGCGATGGCGTTAAAGCTGTGGTCGAGACCGACGATGTGACTGAACCCGTGGGGCTCGATTTGCGCGTTTCCTGAGGTGAACGACAAAATCCGGTAACCTTAACAGGTCAGGGTTCGGTTGGGTTGGTTGGTTGGTTGGTTGTTGATTGTGTTATGTTGTTGTGTTTGTTGTTGTTGTTGTTGTTGTTGTTGTTGCATGATGAGGATCGTGAAACGAAACAAACGAAACGAAAACGAGCGAAGCGACCACACAAAAAAGAGACACCAAAAATAAATGACAATAAACAAAAATGAAGTTAGCATGACAGAGATAGATAGACAGCGATAGTTAGAACAGGACGGATACTGGTTGCGGGGCGGGTCGGGGCGGTACGGGTGGGTCGCTTTGGTTGGACTGGGTCAAACTGTTGGCATGGGTCGTTCAGCTGAGTGGTGGCTGGCTGGCATTATTGTAGAACTCGCGGCGGCCACTTTAAACAGACAGACATAAACGTAGCCCCAGCGACAACGACGGCGACGGCAACGACGACGACGACGACGACGACGTCAGCTGCGGTTCTAAATGACTGTCACGTCCTTGTCGTAAGTCCAAGTTGGGGGCGTCGTTTGCTTGTTGTAGCTGCTGTTGTTGTTGTTGTTGCTGTTGCTGCTGTTGTGTTTTGTCCTCGCCAAAGTTGTTGCTGCTGCTGCTGCTGCTGTTCGTGATGGTGTTGGTGTTGCTGTTTGTGTGCGGTTACAAGCACATTTGGCACTGACAGTTGACGCTTGACGGTTGACATAGAGTGTGTGTGCATACAACTACACCAAGCAAACACACGCACGCACACACCCACACACTAGCACAGTCGTACAGTCATACACAGAGTTAACCACACAACCGCATTTTGCATAAAGTGTAGAGGTGCGCAAATCTTCAGCCTTCTTATGTCACTTGCACAGTGGTTTTAGGTCTCTCGGTTTCCGTTTTTGTTGAAGTTTTCATTCTTTATTTTGTTCTTCTATTGGTTTAACTTTGTGCTATTATTCTTGCTGTTTTCTTGTTAGGCAAAAGTGTTAAATGGCGCGTTGACCGGAACTTAGTTAAATTGACTTGCCACGCCCAGCAAAATATTGAACGAATTTGCATTGTAAATGCCTAAACAAATATTTTTATACGCCTTTCTCTGTCTTTCGCTCTCTTTTTGTGTTGTGTGTATTTGAGTGCTGTGCAATTTGCAAAAGGTCAGAGTTTAAATCAACAGAGCGGTAAACAGCAAAGAGATAGAGACACAGAGAGAGATAGCGATTGAGAGATGGCGCATAAGCCTCTCGCACTGTGCTTGACAGTCCTCAAAATGCGTTGTGCCCGAGGGAATGGGCAGTCATTGGCGATGACAGCGTGATTGAGTCAAAGGCTTAACTGTATACTGTTTGCGACTTTCAGACAGCTGATATAGCTTGAACGCCATCGAAATTTAATATCGTTTTCATGTTTGCTGTCCCCTGCATGGGGTGCAAGAGTTCATACATGTGTGCGTTAGTTCGATCGAGACTGCGTTCGTTTGATGCAATTGACTGCGATTGAGTGAGACTGGCAGCTATGCAGTGCACTGCGAGTGAGAGTGAAAGAGACAACTCCTGTATATATTAGCCTGGCGCCATCTGTCAAAAGAATACTGAGGCTCATAAGCAGGAGCTGTAGCTTATGAAAACAACTCTTCGATTGCTTTGAGCAACAGGAAATACAAATAGCCAAAGGCTGCGAAATAAATGTAAAATATGTTCAATTCTCTTGTACGTCGATACATTTAATATAAATGTAAATTTACGCTTTTGTTTATATTGAGCTCTAAATTGGCTGCTTTTTGTTTGCATCTTTGTAAGCTGGCCAATCTGTGAGCTGGCGCCATCTTGCGTCGAAGTAAAGCAACATTTTGTGTCCGATTTATATTTTTACTCGAATAGTTTTGGTTTCATCACAAAAGAAGAAAACTGCAGGAAACCTCGACAGCATATATATATTCCTTCCTGAAGGTTTTTTCGTGACTGATAGTTTTGTCACGTTTCCATCTCTGCACACATACACACACACACTTGAAGACTTGAAGACTTTGCCATGTAGTTGCAACAACAATCTCATGAAATTTCTGTTGTCATTGTTCGTGCAACATTCAGTTGAATTGTTCTTGTTGTTGCTGTTCGTTGGCATTGTGGAAGAAGACATTTCACTTTTATGCAGTTGCACTTTGTGTATTATTGTTTCGTTCGTTTTCTCTATGCTCCTCTCACTCGCTCTGGCCGTCCTCTGCTCTGGCGTTGTTGTGCAGCTTGTTCTTGTCTACTTTTAACTGTTTTATTGTTCTGCATTTCTTTCAGTTGCAACGTCGACGGCTGCGCCGCTGATTTGCATAAGCGGCGGCCGCGGTGGCAGCGGCAGCAGCAGCGACCCAAAACCAACAAAGGGTAAGACACAAAAGGGGCATGGACAGGGTTGAGGGGCGGGCTGGATTGCTAGCTGCTGGGTGCTGGCTGTTGGATGATGGGCTGGATGGCGGGCTTAGTGCGCCAGGTGAGCGGCTGAGGCAGCTTATGGGCCAGCTGCTGAGTGCCAACATTGTTGTTGCAGCAGTTCTCATTGTTGTTGTTGCTGCTGCTGGCGTCATGCCCCAAAGATGAAAAATTTGAAAATTTCTTGAATTTCTTGGTGAGCTGCAGCCGCCGCCACCGCCGTCGCCGCTGCTGCTGCTGCTGCTGTGCGAAATGTCAACTTGAATTAAAAGGATTCTTATGTAACGCCCTGACTCTCCATTTGCTGTCTCGCCTGGCAGTTCTGCATGTGTGTGTGTGTGTGTGTGTGCTCGGCCTCAGTGTGTTTGTGTGTCACAGTGTTCAAGTATCATTAAATGAAGTGGGTTTCTGCCAGTTTCGAGCACACTTGGGTAAAGCATATCCAGAAACAAAGTGCATTCTGTGGCGTCTTTGCGTTTCTTTCTTGTCTCTGCTCTATCTGTCTCTCTCAGTGTCACTGTCTCTGCCTCCGTCGCCTTCTCGGTCGCCGTCTCTGTCTCTTTAGCCTGTCGTTCATATTTGTTGTGTATATATCCTTGATATTTTTATGCCAGCACATTTCTATTTGTGACGTTTATTGTTTGGTGACTTGCAAGCAACAAGACCCAATAGGCCAAATTTGTGGCACAAACATCTTGAGCGGCAACAACTGACAGCTCGACTATGAGTAGAACCCAGCCAGCCCCTTGACAAACCATAGCCCACACGAGGCACTTCTCTCTTAGCTTTAGCAAATTTCAATTTGTGCACATTTCAATCAGAAGTGCACAAACCCCAAGCTCATTCCACTGGCTGGCAAGGCCCCTCGTCTTCCCGCCTCGTGTTTGGCGCTCGTTTTAATAGTTTCCGCTTCCGCTCAGCGAGTTCAAAGCAATTGGAACTGACTTTGCCCGCTGCCTCAGCCGGGTGTCAGCCAAGTGCCAAGTTCCGTTCCCAGCGCCTGCTTCGAATGCTGTTTTGGATGTCAGGTCTAGGGGCAAGGGTTTGGTTTTATTTTATTTTGCTTTTTTTCGGGTTCGGGACGGGTTTAACGTGTTTGCGTTTTGTTTCTTCTTGGTCATGTTTATATAATAAATATATATATATATATATATATAAAGAGAGAGAGGGGGAGAGAGAGATGGGGGGAAAAGGCATGCTGAGTACTAGGCACTTACTTGCTCCGCAGTCTTGAGCAGATTCTCAATTTCAAAGCTGCTGGTGCGCGATGTTGGCTTGGCCACGCCCAGTCCTGAAATGATGCCGCCGCCACCGCCAGCGCCGACTGCCAATTGCGCCACAGTTGGCTCCACAAATGAGGGCGCCGGCGAGCTTTCCGCCTCCGGTGAATACAAATCCTTGCCAGTGCCATCTAGAATATATGAGTATGGGTTAGTCCCTGAGCATGAGTTAAAGATAACAGTTAGTTTATTATTATTTGTTTTTGGCTGGCTCATAATTAGTTGCCGGTTGCCTCTGGCCAACAGACTGATGCTGCTGCTGCTGCTGCTGCTGCCGCTGCTGATGCTGGCTTAAAGTTCGATTAAGCATTTTATTTATGTTGTTGCAGCTTGTTTGTTAATTTTAAATTCCATGTTTGCGCAATAAAAAGCAGCAGGAATTTAATACTTGCAGAAATGGCGCCCAAAAAAAAAGAATAAAAATGTAGAAAAAAGAACCAAGCAACCAGGCAACAAGAGCAAAACAACGGCTGCCAGCCAACCAGCCAGGCAGGCAGGCACAAAGCTGAAAGTAATAACAACAAAAGTACAGCCGGCAGCCAGGCGCAGCCAGGAGCAGCCACCAAGCAGCCAAAAAACAACAGCAGCAACAAGAATAACAACAACAGCCACAACAAGCTGTAATGATTATTGCTGCTATGTGTTTGCCACAACGTCCACATAAGTGGGCCAGAGGGGAAGGCAGCGCGAAGTTGGAGTATGTGGAGGCGATACACACACACCCACACACACCCACACACATACACATATGCAGGCGCGGCAAAGATTTAACCAAGAAGAAAAAAATTTATGGCCTCTACACATGGCATGCATACATACACACGCATATAGTATGCATGTGTGTGTGTGTGTGTTCGTGGTAGTTTTGGAAGCGCCAGGAAGCGTTTAAAAATCATGTCCTTGAATGCTGCTCTCCACAGTGTCCTGGCCCGGCTTGCCACATGCAAATTGGTTACAACAAATTTTATGAACATTTTGCTTCAAATTTGACACTAGCTGGGTGTGCGCGTGTGTGTGTGTGTGTGTGTGTGTGTGTGAGATATTGAAATTGCCGCCTTATAAATTTCAAGTTGCGGTCTTCTTACAAATTGCACGTAGTTCTCCAAGGCAAAGCTAGGCAACTACAGACGGGGCTAATAACTTATAGACGTTGTTCGTTCCACACTTTGCTCTTGTTGTTGCTGGTCATTTAAACGAGCAACTCGAAAACGTGCATCGGCCATAAAGTCTGGTATCTTAGTAGTGGCTTTACTTAAACTAAGACGAGTGTGTGTCCGGGCGGGGCAGGTCACAAGTTTATGATACGTGCTGTACTGGCAGCTAAGCCCATACGTGAGACTGTTAAAAAACATATCGAATGCTGGCGCTTTTTCTTTTCTTTTCTTTTCTTTTTTGGTGCTGCCAGGTGAGAAAAGACCTGCTGGCTTTAGCTATTTTGACAGCTATTGATAGCTCAAAGGTATTGACCTGACTAAGTTATTATAATATCATATGTCAGAGCACATGTGTGGCAAGGCTCTCGGCTCTAGTTGAGGCAGGATTTCGACTATGAAACTTTAAGTTTATTGCTAAAGTTGGCTATAAAAATCTCTTCAAACTATTTTATGTGTATTAATTTAAGCTCAGACTGCAAATTGCTTTCGAATCGAATCAGTTTTAAAGCACTTTTCAGCCAAGTTAAACTTTTAGACAAACATATCTGTAGCTATGCCAACGCTGCTCTATTATATAAACTTGCAGAGCGTCCAAAAAGAACTAATTATCTGCATGACTAAGGGAAGAGTAACATATGATAATTAAAACTGTTTCGACTACGCTCAAAGTGCTTTTGGCTCTTGCTTTTAATTAACCAAAAAAAGAACTTGATGTAACGTTTGACCAGCTTCAGTTGTGCATAAATATATGTGTATATATATGTGGGGCTGGCTCCTCTCTGATTGCAGTCTTCATCAAATTGTGCATTTAATAAGCTAAAAGTGCTTCAACGTCAAGTTGCATGCCCAAGTTCGTTTCCCTGTTTAATTGCCAAAGTGAAATGTAATCCAGTTTTGCATTTTTATTTATGCCCCAGCCTGCCGCAGACTGCCTGCCTCATGTTGAATGGCAAACGATTTTTGTTGCATATGCCGCCATATCCATAACCCATATGCCACAAATGTCCGTTCATCAGCAGACTCTGTGTGCCCAAATGGCGAATATGGTACAAACTACGCAATGCACACAGACACACGCACACACACACACACACAACCAATACATGTGCCAGCTGCATGTGAGTCGTTTAATTTTTGCCATATACAACTATATATATATATATATACTTTAGTTTTTTCTTTATTTTTATATGCATTCGTGTTGTTCTTGTTTTTGTGTTTTCATTTTTTATTTTAATTCTTTTTTAGTTTGCTGTGCCTTTTAATTGTTTGCCGCATAAAAATGTTTCATTTTGTGTATATAAAATACTCACACACACACACACACACATGTGCTATTGCCGTTGTTCTTGTTGTTGTTTTCTGCGTTTGTTGGTTTTTAATTGTTTTGTGTTCTTAGCCACTTCGGCTTTTTGAGTGCAGTGCAGCGTGTGTGTGTGTGTGGGCGCAGTTTGTAATCCTGTAATTATGTAGTTGTTGTTGCTGCAAAGCGAAACGAAACGACAGCCTGTGGCAAGCAGGCAGGCATGCCACACACACACACACAGAGAACTATTCGTTTCTTCCACCCACACTCTCTGGCTATTGCCATAGCTCTGCCTTTCTCTCTCTGTTAGCACGCTACTTATTGATGTAATTGTTGTTGCTGTTGCATGTTGTATGAAGCACTTGCAACATGCATTAAACGAAAAATATAAATTACTTTAATGAACTTTACAAATTCGCATGCGCGCCCGGAAATACGTTTCCGCTGTTACCGTCACAGCGCCAGCCACACAGAAAACAGAGAGAGAGAGAGAGAGAGAGAGCGACAGAGAGGGAGACAGGAGAGAGGTAGACCGCACCTTAACCACAACAACAAGCACAACAACGAGCACAACTGCTGTGATTAGTATGCTTTTGTTGTAGTCGTAGATGAATGTTGGGTTGCGGCTTTCAAATGTTGAAAACAAAATAACAGAAAGCAAAAAAACAACATTCCACGCACAGTTTTATTTTCAGTTTTAGTTAGAAGCCAGACCAAAGGTATTTACATTTTGTATTTACACAGTGCAAATGGGCGGAGGGGAGAGGGCAAAAGATATACTTACTCCAACCAGGAGCTGGCACAATCAGTCCAGTTATCATCTCTTCGCTCATCACTGGCGGATCTGTGGGCGGCGGCGGGCACACCAGAGAGTCAATCATATCGTCCGTTACACGCATAATGCCCACTAGATCTGGCGGCTCGGTGCGCGAGGAGCTGCAAGAGTCGAAAGAGTACAAAATTTGCAAGCAACTTTTATGAAAGTACAAAATAATTAGCATAATTTTATATTTGATTTGATTTGTGGCCCGCTTTAAAGCCAAACACCTGGCTGACCTTTTTCTATGTCAGTGGCAAAAGATGCGGAAAAATGCTTTCCAACGTGCATAATTTGAATGGGATTTGGGAACGTGTGGGTGTGAGCGCGGGGTGGTTAACTGGTCATGGGTTACAGTTTGCTGCCTCGCAAACGCTTAGCACAAAAGCCAATGCGGCCATAAAGAGCAGCTAATTAGGCTATCAAAATGCCTGACTATGCGCCCGTAGAAGGGTCGCAACGGCAGTAGCTCAACCCCTCAACAGCTATTCCCTGCCGGAATCGTGAGTCCTGAACATCAACCCTACTTCAACGCTCTGGCCACAGCCTCCACTCTCTATGGGTAGCTGGTCAATGTGTTTGTGTTCATCTGCGGCTTTAGTTTTTGTTGTTTTGGACTTTGTCATGAAAATTGAAAAGCGAAATATTAAAAGCTCGGAAAATTTGTTCGTCTCTGCCATTTTTGGTGCTAAATTTCCCATTTTTGATTTGTTGCGAAACTATTTTTTATAGTGTGCGTCTCTCTCTCTGTGTGTGTGTGTGTATCTCTGGGCTGCTTATTGGCCAGCTACAAAAATGTGCAAAAAGCTTGTCGAATGTTGACATATTTCGAGGTTTTTCTTTTTCAATTTTACTTTTTTTATATTCATTTTGAAAGTTTTGTGCGGTATTTAATATTAAACGAGTGTGTGGCTTTAGAGGTTGGAGCGTTTTGAGGACACAGCCAATTTATAGGGTTTTTTTCTGTCGAGGGGCGGCCTTTGAAGTTGAATGAGAATTTAAGATAGATATACTGTACATGAGTTGGCAGCATGAAATAGGCACACGACTTGTGCAGCATAAAGAAAAAATGTATAAAAGCTGCCATTAGAAAAGTTAATTGATTTTTCGAGTGCCATAACAAAGCCGCAGCTGTCAGAAAAATGCATCATAGAGCATAGAGTGTGTGCGGGCCTCTGAGAAATAGCCCTGAAAGTCAGTTGAACTTGTGATGCTTTAAGCTATATTATGAAATGTGTATACAAGCAAGTGCTCAGCTTTAAAAGTTACTCTAAGTTTGCCAGTCACTACTATTTTTATGAACAACTAAATTTTGTTAGTTTTCCTTTCTCAAGCACTGTTTTTAATTTATTAACAAAATACATTTAAATTAGTAAAACATATATTAATCTTAATATTCTTTTCAAATAGTTTTCACTAGTCTCAGTCGCACTACTATTTCTATGAAATCAACTGCATATATTTCTTAGTAAAATAATATTTATACAGGATTATCATAAATGCGATAAATATTTAATTAATTAATATTTAAGCACCTTTAGCACCTGCTGAAGATATGTTATCTTAATGAGCTTCAACACGTAACCACAGAGACTTCTATGAAATGGCCTTAGGCTCACGAGCTATTATTATTAAATTAAATTAAATTTAATGCCAAGTGAAGCTGAGCCGTCTAAAGCTAAGTTTAAAGCCAATAGCTTAATTAATTTAAGGAACAAAGGCAAGCGTCGCCAATTGTTGTTCTGACTGGCCGACTGGCTGATTGGCTGACCAGCTGAGGTATTAAAAGAGCGATAAATGTCATTGTTAGTTAAACAATGGCCAAATTGTTAATTAGTGTATATATATTGCATATCTGGTTAAACAATGACCAGCCATATCGACATTCAACAATGGCAAGGCGTGTTTTGTCAATAGAAATGCGAAATGCAAGCATGTTGCTTAGCTCCGAGCTAATGCATTCAAGTCAACAGTAAGCGAGCCGGACAATTGACAGAAATGAAGACAGAGACACGCTGACTGGGACAGCGAGCTAGTTGGATGAATAGACAGTGATGGCATAAAATGGATTAATGCAACTTACCGCATCATCATGCTGAGCAGTTGCTCCTCCTGCAGCACGCTCTCCAAGTACATCATATCTAGATCAGAAACAATTGCGCCATTGATGACCATTATTTCGTCTCCCTTGATAATGCCTGCATTGAAAATGAAGATAGAAACCGAGTTAAAAGCGAACAACGTTTATAATATTAACTATTTCCATAATGTGTATGTGTAGCTAGAAGGCGCAGACAATAGATATTCTTTTACCGAGTCCAGCAGTTAGGAAAAATTTAATAGTTGCGCGTTATTATTGTCTGCTTGGCAGAGGCGGACTGGGCGGATTGGGCGTACTGGGCGGTCTTGTAACAGCATCAATTGTGGGCGAGTCAGTGACAACTTTCCTTAAGATAAGCGCTCATGTCTTGGGCTAGCGATAAAAACAATAACAAACACAATGTGGCTGGCGCATTGTTCATACGCCCCGTTGCCAGTTTAATGTATTGCAGCTAGCTCAACTGTGCGTGTGTGTGTGTGGCTGTGTGTGTGATTCGTGTTTTCTACAACATTTATTTCGAGCAGGCAGCTGCTTGGCTTCATTTTTGTTTTGTTGCACGTTATCAGTGTTGTTGCAGCTACAGCAACTTCGACAGATATGCGCACGTGTGTGCGTGTGTGTGTGTGTGTGCATGGGTTGTTATCTGCCTGACAGTTGTGTATTTTATGCAAGAGTCTGCTGCACCTTGAACCTTCCAGCCAGGCAGCAGTAACCGTACGACCAGCAGCAGCAGCAGCAGCAGCTGCAGCGGCACCTCCTGCACAGTTTTTGCATTTGCAACAATTTCAAATGGATTTTGCCTTCTATTTCTTTTTTAGCTTTTTGTGGAACATTCGTTACGTTTACGTTTACGTTTCGTTACGTTTTGCTGTGGATTATTTGGCTTTAGCTTTGGCAGCACATGCATTAGACAAATATCTACTCGACTTGATATTTATTTTGTTTACTCTGTTGCGGTTGCTTCTGCTCTAAGTTGTCTCTCTCTCGCTCTCTCTCTAGTTGCCTCCCTTTCTCACTTTTTTGGCTGCGTTGACAACAGCTTTGTTCTTGGCTTGAGCAAATTGTTATTTCATGTTTGCCAAATACTTTGCCACGCTTGTTTTTCAACACTCGAGTGTGCGGCATGCAACTTTTGTGCACATGCTGCCGAGGCAGTTGGTGCAAATGCTGCTGCCGCTGCTGTTGCATTTGTGGCCATCATTATTATGGACGGCTCGATGGCTGCTCGACTGCGTCTGTTTGTTAACTGGGGAAAAGCCAAGCAAACAGGCGCCAGTGCCAGTTGCCAGTTGCCAGTTGCCAGTTTAGAGTGGCATGCGGCATGTGGCATGTGGCATGTGGCATATGGCAAGTTGCATTTAAGAACATTGATTTAGGGCACACTTTAAGCGCTCATTAAAGGCAACTCAAAGATATTTTGGGGTTTCAATTAGCTCAAGAAAAGTGGGCAGCCACAGCATTTGCATTTGCAGTTGCAGTTGCTGCTGCTGCTGCTGCTGCAACTGCTGCATTTGCGGTTGCATTTGTTTTTGTTTTGTTGCAGCCTCTGGTTGGCAACTGCCTTGACCAGCTCTTGCCCAGTTTTGTTTTGTGGCGCCCTTAAATTGGTCTTTGGCACTTGCTAATAGGTATTTAAATCAATTGTACAATTCTGCCCAGCTCATCATCTATCTCACTCTCGCTCTCCCTCACTCTCTTCTATTCCGAAATTGATCTAATTTATGCAGCCACACGCAGTTGTTCGATTCCATTTACATACAAAACTTGCCAAATGTTACGTCATATTTATTGATATCCTTGAATAATATCCTGTTATTGTCCCTATCATTGTTTTGTGTACATTTTGCAGATTGCTGCAACTTGTTATCGTTCGACTCGTTGCACACTTTTATCGTGCTCGTAACTTTTTCAACTATTTATTTATGGCTCTGCAATTGCGACACTTTTCCACCGATTATTTTCATAGTCTGAACTTTTCGCATATGCGTAAACACGTCTAGCTTAAATGGACTAAGCCGTTTATATGCGAAATTATTATCAAATGTGAATAAGGCTTACGTGCAGAAATAATCCCGCTAAATGATTACAAAAATGATTGCAGCTTAAGCAATATATGATTAAAGTAAGCACTTTGGTAGAAGGACACGTTTTGGTAACTATTGAAATGGAACAGGATAAAAAATGGAATCCCTAAAGAATTAGTTTTTGGACTATTTTCTACAACTAGAACTTTAATGTGTAAAGAGAATACATAGAAAAATACATTTAAAATTTCTTTTTTGTAAATATGTTAAGGGAGATATTTTGACGAAACATAGGAAAATTAAAAAAAGTGAAGCCTGAAGATAAGCAGTTCCAAAAATTTAAAAAATAATTTCTTATAATTTTTTATTGAACCTTAAAAGCCTCACTATTTGCTGATTCTTGTTGAGCCCAAGCTATGTTAAGCATTTCAAGCAAATTCAGAGCGAAAGTTGACCCACTGTAGTTATAGCTCGAACAGACTTATATATTGCAAAGAGCTAGGGTCTCGCGCTCAGTGGCTTGGCGCTCATAATTCGAGCATTTTAGAGAATGCTAAATACATGCATAAATATAGAGCCAGGTCGCAAGAGAGCCTCAATCGCTAGTTTAAATAATAATCAACAGATTAGTTAAACCAAGTGTTACTCTAGCTCCTAAGTAACTTGTGTTCTATTCAATTACACCTTGATTATGCATATCCGCAAAGATTGCAGTTTACCTAACGCAGCTGCATTGAACATGAAGAAAAAACGCAAACAAGCAAAGTCATTAGCAAATCTGGCACTTGCTGCAGCACTTTATTTGCTGCTCATTAAATTCAACACCCTGGCAAAAAGTTGTCCAGTGGCATTGTTAACGCAGTTTTAAGCCAACCAAAAAAAAACACAGGCAAGGAGAAGGGGGCAAAGTGAGCACAAACAAAAAAGGCCAAGAAAAACTCATAGCAAATTATAAACTAACCGCCAGTGACAGGGCTAACTTTTAAGGAGTCGCGAGTGGGCGGCAGGGCGGCTGGGCTGGTTTCATGTCTCACTTTTTGCTAACGATTTTCGTGCACATTGTTTTATGGACTTTTGATTCGTTGTTGTCGCCGCCGTTGTCGTTGCCACATTCGCACTCAACGTGCTTAATGAGGTTTCCGCTGCGAAATTTTCTTTCAGGTTCATCACTTTTGCAAGTGCAGCATTGCAGTTATAGTCTGCCCGCCTGCCAGGTGGGTGCTGGTTGGTAAGACGGAACCAGTGTCAACATCAGTCGACATAATTTAAAGCGCTGCTCGAGTGGCATTTCGACTGCAAGCACTTGACTGCAGTTCGCCCAGCTGCTCCCCCCAGTATGCATGCAAATGCCAACTTAAGTTGATTTTAAGTGATAGAAAAACAACAAGGGTGGCGGGTGGCGGGTGGCGGATGGCAAAGGGCGCAAAGGCAAGTAACGGCCAGGTAAGGCAAGGTAGCCGATGTCTAAGATGACGCCCAAAAAGCCTTTAAGAACACAGACGCTGGGGCCTGTGGCTGTCATTACAGGTGCATGCACTTTATACACCCACACACAGGGAGAGAGGGAAAGAGGAAGAGAGAGGGAGCACATCTTCGAGTGCGCTGCTCATCATCCGACGTGATGTCTACTCGCTTACAAGCGCTGACTGTTGAGTTTTTTATGAAGATGCAGCAGTAGCTGGCCCTGAGGAGCTGCTATACAAACTGCTGCTCACTCCAGCCGCAGCTTCAGTGCTCCACTTGACTCTCTGCGCTGTGCAACCAAAGCGAGTTTGGTTCAAGTTTTGTGACATAAAAGTGAAAAGCATTTAAATATAAAAGAAACGCAGTTCTCCCAAACACACACACACAGAGCTAAAAGCGCATGCCAACAGTCAAGTTTGTAAAGTGGGCGGGAGGAACGTGCAGTGGAGTGGGCGTGCCACTTGATAATATTCTTGGCCAACATTGGAACGCACATTGTTTCAGTTGAACTACGGCCGGCAGTCAGGCAAACGTCAGGCCTGCCAACGGGCCAACGGGCCAACGGGCCAACGGGCCAAGCATCCTGAATGTTTGTCCATTGGCCAATGGCCATTTGGCATTTTGTGTCATAAATTGCGAGTGAGTGCACGAATGCAGCTGAGCTAAGCAGCTGTAGGAGCTCGAGTGTTATATTTGCAAAAGTGTACTTACCATTGTGCATGGCCACGCTTTTGTCCTCGACGCGGCTCACATAGCAACAGAGCTCGTCCTGCCGCTCGGCGTTCTCAATCAGCTCCGCCTCAACGGAGAAGCCCCACATTTGCTCCAATGTGGTGCGCTGCAGCTCCACCTGGTACAGTATTTTCATGCACACCTCCACAAATTCGTGATTATGTAGCTGCGGTTGCCAGGAATAAAAAAGAAGAAGGAACAAATATAAAAAATACCAAAATTAGCCACAGTGCAAAGCAGCTTAAAAAAAGTTTCCTTATTTTCGTGTTATTTATTTTATTTTTTTTCCTTCCTGTCTTTTTTCGCAGCGAGTTTCAATAAATTTTTGTTGGCCCACCCGAAAAGTTGTTTTAATTCTCAATTTATTGAGCAGCCAAAAAGTTTCGTACAGCTGCACTTTTGACCTGGCAATATTTACAGCTTGTTGTTCAGCCAAAAACTTTCTCAGGAGTTCTGCGCGCAATTTTGTTGAAGCACTTTGCCCGGGCTGGCTGACTTGGCAGTTTGAGAAATGGCATCCTTAGACTAATCGCCCGCTAAGTGGCTACATATTCGGCATTCAGCGCTGGCAGGACTCGGGCGGACGGGCGGCGCTCAAGCAACAGACAGCTGCTGCACCAAGTGCCTAGCTTGAAATTAACTGCAATTCAAGGTAGACTCACGCTTTGCCTTGCCAAATATAGCAAAAGGAGTCTTTCATCAGCAACTTCATTTAAATGACGTCATTAACTGTCTATTACTGCAGCAGAGCTAATTATTAAGCTATACAACCTGTGATTTATCAGCTGTAATTAAGCTTGAATTCGGTGGCAGTTTGTAAACACGTTAAGCAAATCTCGGAGCTCACTGAAATCATCTATATTAAATCCGAAACACTTGTGCCAACAAATCGCATTTAATCCTTTCGATTGGCATTTCCTTTGTTGCGAGAGCGCAGAGAAAAAACTCCCTTAATTGCCCTTAATTTTGAACAAACAACAAACACATGCGCAAAGTTCAAAGTTCAATCGAAATTGCCACCCACACACAGACACAGACACACTCAGAGACATAGTCATAGGCACGTGTGTGTCTGGGCGTGTTTTTTTTTTTTTTGGGCTGAGGCTGAGGCTGAGGCTGAGCAAAAGGGGCTCTTGGTGCAGGTTACTTACATAATTTTCAATCAGATCATTGCGATGTGGCACAAAGTAATTGTGATCCTCCATGTCACGTCGCTTCTTGACGCGCACAAAGTGCTCCATGGGATTGAGGTTGCGACGGGCGCAGGCGCTGGCAAGGAATTCCTCCACAGACATCGCGTCACGTAGATAAACTGTCGAGTAAGCATTGTCGGGCATTGCAACTTTGAAGGTTTTTTCCGGCTCGTCACGTGAATTCATCTGGAAAAAGGCAGAAAATTCGATTGGATAAACAGGCGAACATACACCACACACCCATACAATGTCATTAAGGCTGCTGCTGCTGTTGTTGTTGTTACTGGCTGCTGCTGTTGCTGGAGCACACACGGAAGTGAAAATTGAAAAATAGCAAAAACACATTTCTATCCGAGCAAATGTGTAATGAAAAACGTCAGCAGCAGCCAGCGAGCCAGGCAGCCTGGCAGCCAGGCAGCCAGCAGGCAGTCGACAGTCAACGGACTCTGACAGACACCAGTTTGAAGAAAACTCAGTTAAAATGCTTAACGGCATCATCATCCTGCTCCTCTAGGGGGCTGGTTAACAAAGCTATGCTGCAGCTGGAGTCGAAGCCGTGTTTGCAGCCAACAGTTTGGCCAACTGGTAAACGAATCAGGCGCCCAGCTGCCAGCTGAAAATTGCATTTGTATTGGCAGCCATCGACGATGGTTTTGCTGGCTGACTAACTTTTAGCTGCCGCTACAGCAGCAGCAGGCATGCCCCAAGCACAGGTGTAATGCCACACACATACATGCTCAAACGCGTGAGTGTATGTGTAGCTTACTACTTGCACGACAATTGAATTAGTTTGGCAGTTACAAAACTCACACAGAGACAAGTTGGCAGCGACAGCAGCTATGCCACATTTGCATGCACATCCGTCAGACTTGCCACATGTGCAGCAGCAACTGGAAAGGAATCTTTGCATTGCATAACAATTGGGCAACGTTCGCATCTTTTTTGCACGCAAACACACGTACATACAAATATATATATGTGTATATGTATATATTTATATACATGCCAGTATTTATATGTGTGTTTGTTGTGGCATATATCGCTTGCAAAGTCATTATGCTGCACAGTTGATGCCACACACACACGCAGCGAAATCAATAATGCATATGCAATGCATTGCATTGCATTTCATTTCTTTTTGGGTGTCAACTTTATATTCATAGAGGAAATGAAGGCGTTTGTGCTACTTTGCATTGTCCTTTGCTGTTGCTGTTGCTGCTGGCTTGAACGTGATGTGAAATTCGAGGCAACAGCTGTAGAAATTGCAAATTATAAATAATAATCAAGTTACAAATGCTCAACAATAGAGCGAGAGCGAGGGAGGCAGGAAGCGAGTTGAAATCAAAATGCCATTCGACATGCAGAAATCCTTTGAAGTAACTTTATAGACCTGTTTAATAATTGGTGCTGACCGAATGTGTGAGCTTATGAATTTATTTGGCAATTTCTGCTTGAATTTCAAACAGCTAGACAGACTTTAATTGCTGACGCTTAAGTACCATCAGCTAATATTTATAGCCGAATCAACATACTATAACCTAGGCTATGCGCTAAGGCAAGAATTGACTTTGTTAATTTGACTCTGAAAAGGATTTTTTCAGATTCATTTGAGTGCATTCTTTATAAGAGCTGACACGTTAAGGCACTCTCATTATGCGCTCTACTCTTATGTCAGCTAAACAGTATTATCAGTTCACAGATCACTTTGAAACTGAACTCAAAGGCGAGCAACTGTGTTTTGCTGTTGTGCTTCCCATAGAGAAGCAGCCGCAAGTTGCAGATTTAACTCCATTAAACGGTTTGCTAGAACGCTTTGAGTTGGTTTCTTTACGAGTGTTGAATCATTTGTATACAGAGTAAAAAGAGTTGCATGTGGAGTTGGAGACTGCTCTCACTCTTCCTAAGTTCGCTTACTTTGCAGCGCAGCAATTGTGCTTTATAAAGGCATTATGAAATTGTAATCAAAGGCGAGCAGCTGTACTTTGTGTTGCTGATTCCGCGAACTATGAAGCCGCAAGTTGCAAATTGGATGTGTTGGACCTTATGCATGGCTTTACCTTGCTACCACAAGAACATTTAAGCAGAGCTTATATAAGCCGTGGTTGTCTGTGATATTTACATATCTAATTATAAAATAAATTCAGTTTTTTTTTGCGAAATGTCACATGCATTTCCAATTAAATATAATCGAATGTAAATGTGAATATTTAAATTATAATAGAAATTTAATCAGCATTTAATATACATAAATTTATATAATAAATAAAATATATATTACTTTTTCACTCGACAACTGCAGCTAATCAGGATTATGTGTTATGTCCTCTTTATGTATATAAAATGCGTATTTGTCAGCTGGCTGAGTTTTATTGCTGTCTGCTCGCATTTTCATTTGAATTGTGCAAGTTGTTGGGGCAACTTTTTGAATTTTGCATTTTCAACTGTGTTTCGCCTTTGGGCTGTCGATTAATGAACTTTGGCTGCTTAATGCCACAGCAAGTTGCACGCTGACTGGCTGGCTGGGTGGCTGCTTCAGTCGGGTTGAGCAAGTCAATTTTCAGTTGTCGCTTCGTTGCGTAATTCAATTTTCTGTTGATGTCTGTCTCGTTTTCTCTCTCACAATCTCTCTTTCTCTCTGGGTCTCTCGATCTGGCATGGGCCAATTAAATGCGTCGTGACAAAAATTATTTAAAGGCCCCTAAAGAGTTTGCGCTACGCAGTTCGCACAGCTTCCAGCTCGCAGCTCGCAGCTCGCAGTTCGCAGCTCGATAATTGCCAGTTGTAGAGCAGCCACGAACGCTGGTGGACACCTTTAATTTGATTTCATTTCATTTTCAATTGCAATTTCAGCTGCATTGCAGCTGACATGCTGGCAAAATGAAAAGCCACACTCACCCACACACACACACACACACACGTATTCAATCGAGTTGACTGCGCAAAAATATCAACCAAATCAAATGCACATTTTTCAAATTCATTGAATTTTCAGCGCCGCCAAATACAAGAGTCTGATTTAACGTTAGTAACGCTTTATATACGCACACATATATTTATATTTATGTTTTATGTTCTTGCTTTTAGCATGAATATTTCTGGCTTCACTGATGACGCTGGCAGCAACAGCGACAGCGACAGCGACAGCGAAGTCGACTGCAATTGTTGCAGCGTTGGCAAATTTAATTGGAAATGAAGTGTGCACGCCCCTGTGCACTGGCTGTGCATTCGTCTGTGTATGTGTGTGTGTGCGTGTGTATCGTATGCTGCTGCACAAGATTATTTTGCCAATAATCGAAACAAATTGAATTTATGAAATGAATTTCATTAAAAGCACGAGTATATATATACATATATATAGAAAATGCAAAAAATGCCAACTCTAATTGAAGTTTATCAAATAAGCAGCGTCAAATACATAACGAGTCCATTTAATAATACAACAGCCAAGCTTAATCGAATTGAAAGAGCAGTTGAAACACTAAATGCAAATCCAGCCAACTAAGCCAAATCTGCATATAGCCAAAATCGACTTTTATATGATTTAATCTTCAAAATGTAGTTTTTGCCATTGCAACATTTTTGTGCAGTGTATTTAAAGGCGAACACACACACACACTAGCCAGAGTTTAGCAAATTGAGCTAAACACTTGAACGAAAACGTTTGACGCTGCGTATACGTAATATGGCTTAGCTTCCAGCTAACTTGCATTACAATTTCTAATTATTTTTAGTGCTATTTTGTGGTCGAAATAACTAGCAGAGCAAAAATCAATAGAGAGACAGCCAGTCCAAATACATTTGTGAAATGTAAATTTGTAAAACTGTTTCAAATATTTCGTGATTTGTGTTTGCTCTATCAAGATTAATTTAGCTTTGCAAAACGCTCGAAAAAATATGGCAAGCTGCGTACTTTATGCAAATATTTTCACAACTTTGGATTAGTTTTCCCTCTCTCTCTCTCTGTTTGTGTGTGTGCCATTTGCCTAATGGCTATCTAAAGCATCTTGTGGACGGCGGCTTCATAAATTTGTTTTTGTAATTCCTGATGGCCATTAAATTTAAATTATACAAAGAAACGGACAACAATATGGAAAAATGAAAGCGCGACAGTGGTCAGCGCAAAAATACATTAGAGGGCGACACATTTGGTCATTCGGCTGCGCATTTGCGCTCAATTTGGCTTTTATGCTGTTTCCGCTGCCTTAAATAGAAATTCAATTATTTAGCACATACAGACAGAGCTTACATGCGCAATAAAAATGCAAACACGCATCACAAGCGGAGGCGTCATAAAATCGTTTCCAAAATTGATATAATTTTATTACGCATACGAGCCGAGCCGAGCCGAGTCGAGCTGAGAAGAGCCGTAGGCTCAAATAAGCATATAACTTACCTGCATGGAGCGACGACTGGAGCCGCTATTCGAACGAGACAGCATCGGTGGCCGTCGCTTGGTGGCACCACGTCCGGCCAGCAGATTATTGAGCAACGACGGCGACCGGGCACAAATGAAGGCGTGGAACGAGGAGACCGTGAAAACGCCCAGCTTATTCAAAGTATTCTTCGTTGGCCGCGACACGTGTGTGAGCAGTGACTGTAATAGAAGGAGGACGGGCACATGAGATAATGTTATTTAAGATAATCCTTTTAATACTTTAACGTTCATTTCATTAACTTAAAAGTGAAATTAAAGGTGAAAAGGCACTTTAAAGCGACCAATGCTCGGCGGACAAACGTTTATGGCAAAGGCAGAATCGTTTTGGTCAAGCTGACTAATATGACATAATTAATTTCATAATACATACATACACAGCCACACAAAGTACATTAACTGGGCTATGCGTTTGTATATTTTGATGTATCTGAGTGTGCGTGGGTGTGTGTGTGTGCATCTGTGTATGCTTGGCTTGTAAGTGTGCTGTGCAAATAGCCTGCAGTGCATGCACTTTCTCGTGTAAGTGCTGCTGCTGAAGTTGTTTGGGTTTTGCGGTTATTAATAATAAATGTGGTTGCTCTTTATGCGAGTTGTTCAGTTGAAAGCACCGCATTTGCTACCATTCCACTTTGGCAAGCAACCAACACCAGCCCCTAGCCCAACCCCAATGCTTCCACTTTGTCCCCCACTGGGCGCCCGCTGCAGCAGCTGCTGCTGCTGCTGCTGCTCTGTACAAGTCATAAAAAGTGCAATTAACTTGCAACCCTTTTCGTCACCCATCAAGGTTGGCCCCGCAAATCTTTTTAATGCCGTGCAAAGTTCGAGGAGCTGCGCCACGACATCCTCTGCCACTGAAGTTGCCAACCGAACGGCGCTCGCCCTTTTGACCCTTTAAGCTGCAGCTCATTTAAGGCGCTTAAATTGTGTTATGGAGATTAACAATACATGTTTTCGGATTCTCAACTAGTTCTCGTCGCCAGCGTACAATCGAATTTCTCAACCCGTTCCATATAAATAAGTAGGTAAAAGCAATTATAGACAACAGGCACCCAGCTTAGGAATCAGCAAGAGCTTTAATGTCTGCGCCATCCTTGCGCTGTGGATGGAGTTGTCTTTTAATCTCTGTTATGGCTGCTTTTTGCCGTTTCACTCTATTCCACTTAGGTATGGGTGATTTTTAATCAAACTCTCCTGTATTGTGTGAACTTTAAGCAGATTATGACAAATCTTGTTGTTGATTAGTTGTGCGTCCTAGGTTCAAGTCAGATATTTATTTTCATTTACTGGGGCAGACAGAGCTCAAGCTGAATGAGCTCAACATGAAAAGTAAATTACTTGAAATTTTCATAAATCCTAGCAAATTGTTTGCCTTTAAAGTTGCCATTCGGAATCCAAGTTCTGTTTGCATTGGCCTCTTTAGCTTGACTCTAAGTCTTACATATTAGATGCAAACACTTCTTTTGCTATTCCACTGGTTGAAGTGCCACCTGTAACTGGTCTCTAGAGCATTCTGTTATCCTGTGCACTTGACAACTACTTTGCATTGAATAGCATTTTCAGGTACGCAGTTTATCACCACAGAGAAAAGCAGCTGCAGAGCCATCAGCATCCGCATCAGCTTCAGCATCAGCATGAGGAGCTAAGTAATTCAAATTGACGCAATCTCAGCCACGTTATGTGAACTTTCTGTGGCTTCCGTTAGGTAAAACAAATTGCGGCAATTGCCATTTTGCCATTAGGCAGTTAAGAAGCAGTAGACGAGGCAGAGGGACGGGGCGCTGTATAATGATACGCATAACTCACCTTTGGATTGGGCAGCTCACCGCTCTGGAGCGAGGCCATATAGCAGCGTAGTCGGAACTGTTCGCAGTGCAGACGTTCAAGGTTTTCCTCCCATTGCAAAATCTGTGCCTGTATTTGATGGCGTGTCTCCTGATCGGTGACAACTGATTGCTGCAGCTCAGCCATGTGCTTCAGCTTGTGATCCTGCAGAAAAAAAGATGAAAATACACGACAGACATTAGACATGAGTGCCACACACATATATATATATATACATAGTTAGTGTGTGTGTGGATTGTGGGGCAAGGATGCGGCAGTGTCGCACTCGTGATGGTTATGAAAGCATCTCTGGCATGGCATCATTAGCATTTCATGGCAGCGCCACAGCAACTATTGCTCGTTGTTGTTGTTGCTGCTGCTGCTGCGGCTGCGGCTGCTGTGGCTGCCATTTGACGAAAATACATAAATCACGCGTCATGTGCAGCAGCATTTTTCGTTGGCGCAATTCAAATATCTATGTGCCCGTCCTGTCGCTCCCTTTGGCAGCTGAAGTGCGTTGGCAATGCACCAACTTTGACACACACACAGCGAAAGATACTTTGGCATCGTTAGCCACACACGCACACACACATATGCAACACATGCCCCTGTTTTCATTACAAATAACGTTTGACTTCCGCCGCAGCGCGTCCCATCAGCAGCAGCAGCAGCAGAAGGAAGAGCTGGCTGGCTGGCTGGATACGCTTCCTAGCAGCACTGCTCTATGCCCAATCCGACCAACCGTTCGTTAGCATTGCAATCCCACTTTCACGTGCATTTATACACGCTTCCATAGATTTCATGGAGCACGTGATTGTTTCATTTTGGTTGCTAGATTTTTTTCTTTTTCACTTTGCTGTCGCTGCTATTGTTGTTGCTGGCTGGTTGTGGTGCTGCTGCTGGTGCCGCTGCTGTTGCTGCATTCAGCTCGTGTAAGCTGACAATTATTTGCAGATGCAGTTGCCGTTGCAGTGGCGGATACGGTGGGCGTAGCCGTGGCAACAACAACCTGAATGGGCACTTTCGATGTTCGACATTTTAATGAATGTGTACACATAAACAGCAGCAGAACTCACACTCACACACAGACACATATGTAAATGTATTTGTTCGCCGGCTTACACAGGTGTCTGCGTAAGCGCATTGTGGGGGCGCGTGGGCGCGCGCGTGTGTGTGTGTGTGTGAGCTGTATGCGAGGACACGCTGCTTGCCAGCGCTTGTGACGATGTTGAGCTCGACATTGTTTATTTTACGTGAAATAAATCATATTTGGTGTATTTGATTTTACAAACTCAACACAGCCAAAGTGGCGTATACGTAATGCATGCGACCCATATAACAGTCAATATGTATTGGGCAATATTTGACGACCGTGCTGCATTTGTATTTGTATGTCTTCCTGTATTATTATTATTATTATTATCCACAACTACCACAATGGAAACCATAATTTGGGGCTTTAGCTGCCAGTGTATTTAATGTTATGTTGCACAAGCAGCAACGAAAGGGAAATTTCAATTAACAATCGCATAACCATCAAGAGCTTATTTATATATATATACATTTGATTTATATATTTCGAATTTGTTAATATTATTTGAATATTTGCATAAATTTAAATTCTGAATGCAGTCTGGCTGCAAATGCTAAGCTAATGCCTTAGCCTTAGTTAGAGCTACTAAGAGTATTTGACTGATATATCTGTCTACCAATAACTATATTATATATATATTTCTGTTAACTGCTAACATATATAGATAAATATGCTTTCAATGTCAAGTCAAATTTGGCGGAGGTTTTAATTGAAAGTATTCTCAGAAGCGTAAGCCTTATGAAGCCTATGACCTAAGTTCGACAACTCAAGTTTTTTTTTGCCAAAAACTACAATAATATACTTTGCTAATATACAGCTGGGAATTCCTTAAATGCAATTTCAAAAGTCTGCATTTTATTTTCTACATTTATTCAGTTAAGTTTCTTTCATTTCAAAAGTTAATTTATGATTTAATTTCTGCTGGGCATCAAATATTCCATCCTTTCTACTTGACAACTATTTAGCTCTGTCCTAAATCGGCTAATGATAAGTCTGACAAAAGTAGCCTTCACGCAGCAGTTGCTCTTTCAACATCAATGAACAACTTTTATGACTTTAAGCTGCTTGTTTCGCAGCGAGAACAACATAAAAAGCTAAATCAAGTGAATTGGGCCACAGGATTGCCATTCGCATTGCCATTGCCAGTTTAACGAGCAGCAGGCACAATAAATGGTATTACATTTTAATGACTGCACTTAATGTGCTTACAATTTCACAAAATAATACTTGCAACAAGCAGCCGAGAGCAGGTCGGAGCCAAGAAACGGGTTAATCAGCAGAGCTGGCCCAATGGGCCCAGCCAATTGGATAGTCAAAACACTTGGCCCAGTGCGTTTCGTAATTATTTACGATGCAGAACAAAAGGACAACTGCCCAAAATTGTCAACAGTTGAAGCTAACCAGCAGGCGCACACACAAATACAACTAAACACACGCCTTCTTAAATAATATGGCAACATATATACAAGCCTGTACGTGTTGTGTGTCTCTCTGTGTGTGTGTGTGTGTGTGATTGCGTGTGGACGTGTGCGTGTGTGCACATTAATCGTGAAACTCATTGTTTGCTGTTGTTGCCGTCACGTTGTGCAATTCATGGTTAAATGGGAATGTTAATTGCCTTGTAATTGCATGGAATTGCAATGTAAATCAACGTGATATGATTGTTATCGATCATATTGATTACATTTACGCTACGAAGGGTATGATAAACGTGTCACAATACAATGTCAGAGCACAGAACTCTTGTATCTGACAATATATTTTCAATGCGTATAACTTAAAGTTGATAATTGCCATTGCTACCGTCTATACTTGTGCGTTATATAGATACAATATTGATCATTTATGTCAGCTAGGCACTGACAGCCGTGTGCTTGTTGGAGATACTCGAATACTCTCAGTCCGATTTCTTATTGTAAGCCCGACTTCTCTCAACAAATGCAGCCTTAACGACCTACTTCCAGTGCAATTTCTGCTGTCAATATATAAAATCATTTGCAAATGAAGCTTTCAATTATAAAAATCACTTCGACAACATGTATACACTAGGGGGTCCTGCTCATTCGACTCTCTTTTGGAAAAAGCTCGTTTACGCTGCAAACATTTGTGACAACTTGTCTCAGAAATTGGAATCGGTTGACATCTGCTATGCAGGAGGTTGGTGCAGTTGTGTTTCCTTTGTAACCTACTCTCTGCTCGTTGGCATCTATCTTAACGTAGCCCGCAATTTCGACTGTCATCTCAATTCCCCACTTAACGGCAATTTTATTATTGCTATGTTGTAGCTTGTTTCTGTGCGGTTTTGTCTCAATGCTCTTTGCGTTCGGCTATGGTCCAGTGCTGTTGCTTCTGCTCTGCGGTATGTGTGTGCCTGTGTGTGTGTGGGGGGCTTTGTGGTTGTCTGTTGCGCTTTCATTAAGCGTCACTCGTGTATGGCTCCCCATGCGCATATTTGTGAGAGCTGCACAGTCACAAGCTCCTACTCAAGTAGGCAAACTGTAGTTGAAGTTGTTCGGGATTCTAGGTCCTGTCTGTGGCATTGCCATTGCCGTTCTTGTTGTCGCCATTGTCGTACTGTCATTTCCGCTTCCTCAGTTCGGCTGGCCCGAGAGTTGAGTTGAGTTGAGTTCAGTTCAGTTGAGTTGAGTTCATGGTGCGTTTTGTTGCTGTGATATATGTTTACCCGAGAGTACAATTAAAAAATACATTTTGCTATTGTTGTCATCGTCATCGTCATCGTCGTCAGCGTCAGCGTCGCATGACAAGCCAAAGATGCCGCAAATAGCAAAACCACAGCAACCGCAAACCACAAATAACAACAACAACAGCTACAACATTAATAATAACCACACACAACAGCAGCAGCAGCAACAGCAGCAACAGCAGCACCAGCAGCAGAGACAGCAACAAGCGATGGCAACAATGAGTGAAATAATAATAACGCCCCAACAAAAAGCGCTGCCTGGCAAAAGGACTCGTGACTGGTATCAGTTTTGTTGCTGCTAATGGCCCCGTCCTTCGATAAGTCAACTGCTCGCTCCACTTCCTTTCCAGCGCTTCTTTCCCCAACCCTTGCCCAAAACACAATAACGATCAATTAACACAGCAGCCCCATGCCAACTATAAGCTACAGCCATTGAGCAGTATGTGTAGCAGACAGCAGCGGGACAGCTTTTGCTGCGATAAAAGATAAAGATAAAGAAAAAGAATACAACAGAAACAGAAGGAGACTTTAAGTTAAAGTGAGATGCCCACCGCCCACCGCACGTACAGCGCGGCGTATGCGCAATGTGAAAATTTTAAATGAACTGCAGCTGAGCTGACCTCAGGGCAGGACTTTTGACTTTGTTGCGCTGGTGCATTAAATGCCAGCTCCTCGATGGGCACCACTCACAAAAAGTCAAATGTGAGCACGGCCAACCACAAAATGTGGGTGGTGCAAGGGTGCAAAATGTCAACAAAAGGCTTGCAAATTGTACGCTTCGTGCACGTTTTGTGTACCATGTGTGTGTGCGTGTGTGTGTGTGTGTGCACATGTCCTGCATAAATGCTGACCACAAAATGATGCCACATTATACAACGAAAAGGAGGGCTTTAAAAGGGGCGCGCAGGTTGTGCGTGAAACAAGCTAAGCCTAAAACCAAAAACTGGCGCCTGTTTGTGCTTGTGGCCACAGTCAAATGTGTACGTGTGCGTGTGCGTGGGTGTGAGCCTGATGTCCATTTGCCTTTTTTCCGGCTACTGCGGCTATGGCTGTTGACAATTGAATTGAATTTGGCAGCAGTTGCGGCAATGCCACGCCCACATGCCAGACGCATAAAGCATATTTCAGCATGCAAAACCCAAATACGCAAAACCAAAAACAAATCAAAAACCAAAAGCGCATTTGCTGCCAGCCAAACTGTAGGGCAAGAGCGAGAGCTGGTCTGGTGTTGAGTGCCCAAATGGGTAACACCTAGTGTCAGGCCTTAGCTACAGCTACAGCTACAGCTACAGCTCCGACTCCGACTGTAGCCTGCTCGTACCATATGCCCGGCCATATCCTGTGCAGCTTGCGACCGAAAGTTGCAAAAATATTCGCACGTTTGCTCCAAAACAAAGCCAATGGCCAGCGACAGGCCATGGATGGCCAAGGGGGCTGCATTAGGAAGCTGGAACGTGGACAACTGCCAAGGCTGGCAACATGTGTGCGTGCTTTATGACGTTAGAACTCGGCTTTGCTCATATTTCTTGCCATAAATTCTTGCCATATATATATATATATATATATATATATATATATATATATATATATATATGGTATTAGTTTATGAATTGCCCCAGCCACGCCCACACGCTCTGCATGTCTATTGTGGCCATGGCCAGGGCCAGTTCAAAGGAAGTTCTGCCAGGCAACCGCCGAAAATCGAACAGTGAATTTTATGGTAATTATAAACTTTATTTAGCAAAAATCTTGCACAATACTAAAAGTTGGCCAAAAAATGTTTAAAACTTTGCCAAGGCAGAGAAAGTTGAGCAGATGCATGCGGCTTTAGGTTGGGGCAGCACAGTTGGCCATGGCCAAACGAGTCAACGCACTAATTACCAAATGTTTAAAACTTAACTAAATATTTATTTCATTATACGCTTTCCCCGGCCAGTGTTGCAAAATGTTTATTTTTTTCTTCCGCATTTCTGTGTGTTTTTTTGGTAGTTGGTTTCCGGTTGCTGGTTTTTGGTCGGCAAATTTGTGTGTGTGTGTGCGTGGCTTCTGCACTGCAAATTTAAGGATTTCACGAGCTTTAATTTAAGCTTAATTGTTGTTAAATTAATTAATGGCTTAACGGCTTTTTGCTGCGTCACATTGGCGTTTTGCAACAAATTAGCTGGCTAAAGCTGAAAAATTTGGCTGCTGCATGGAAATATGCTGCTCATTAAGCTGAAAGCTGAAAATCTGAACAAAGTGCTGCAGCTGTGAATTGACTGGAAACTTGATAATATATTAAAAGTTTTATAGCTTACGCAAATAAAATCAAAATATGAACTTTTCTTTGCCTTTGCCCTTTCAATTCCTCAATTAAAATGCCGTATTAAATTTATACTAAAAGGAAAAATGATTTAAGCCAGGCAACTATTTTTAAAACGCAGCTCGCATTCGACCAGCGATGGGCGCAGGTGGGGCCAGTGGGTGGCGGCTGCTATTGAGCTGAAATGACAGCCGCCATTGCAAATTGAAAGCAGCAGGCAAGTGAGCCTTGTTTAGACTGCGCGCCATGGCAATTGCACACGAGCCACGGCAGCTTGGAATAAAAACAGTAACGGAGCAGAGGGGCAAAAGGTGCATGTGTATGTGGGTGTGGTTGTGTGTGTGTTTGTGCAAGGCAGGACACGTTGGCAAAGGGAAGGCGGGCCTGCTCGTAGGAGTCGTAATTAGAGCGTAAAAACCAGAGCGTACGAAAAACTAAATGTGCTCGGGCAGCTACTACTATTTTTTTCTCTCAGCGCTTGCATTGTGTGTGCAGGTGTGTGTGCGCGTGTGTGTGTGCAAGTGCTTTATGCGAAAAGAAAAATAGATAGCTGGCGAAAAACTAGAAAAGCTAAAGCAAACGAAGCGAAGTGCTGTCCCCCCACTGACACATATATGATTATTTCCGAAAGGTGACAGCTATAAAAAAGGGCAGACAAACAGCTCTGCCTAGTTGGACTCCGCTCACCACACACACACACACACACACACACGTATACAAAGTAAATGGCAAGACAAAGAACGTAGACAACACTGTTGCTCTTTTCAGCGATGCCTTCACGACCATAAAATTGAGATAGGCAGCGCGCGGCACCTTTTTTTTTTTAATTTCATTCAGTAGCAGCAGCAGAACTGCTGCTAGTCCCTCCTTCAGCTGAGCTTCTTTTTATGAGTTGCTGGCTTTGTTTATCCGATGGCACTTTAATATTTTTCATTTCTTTTCTTTGCACAGAAAATTAATTAACAACAAATGCGAATGCGAATGCAAAAACCAAAAATTGTAATGCGAATGCAAATGCGAATGCGAATGCGAATGCAAATGCAAATGCAGTTTTGCGGCCACTCCGGCAGCTCATTTAATTAATATTCATCCGGCAAACTTTGGCAGCAATGGAGGGAGGAGGGGAGGAGCGCACCTAAACACTGGCCACAGTGGGCGTGGCACTTGAAAACTAAACGAGCTGACTGTGAAGTGACTCTTGTGACAGTCTCGGACTTTGCCCGAGCGCAGCAAACCAAATAAAACAAAGCCCGAAACAAAACAAAAAATTATTATAAAAACAAAATTATAAAAAAAGAAGCAGAAGAAAATCAACAACAAGTTGAAAACTTATGAGTGGGAAAGCGGACAGAAAAACGCAGCGTTCAAGGAAGTAATTATGGTTTATCCAAAGGGACAGATAGACACAGCAGCAGTAGCAGCAGTAGCAGCAGCAGCAGCAGCAGCAGCAGGAGTAATGATAGCAAGAAAATGTGAAAGGAAAACGGGAAGACGATTCATAACATCAAACTTCAACTTTACGTGTAAATGGGAAAAACTAAATTAGAAAAGGGGCAAGTCGCGAGGGAAATGCGACAGAGACGAATGAATGAAGTCAACGTGAACTGGACAGGATAGAAACGGCCTGGATAAGCGCAGCCTCTCAGCTGGGCCAACAAAATGATATTCTTTGGCCAACAACAATAACAGCTCAATGTAGCTGCAGCGAATGCAATTATAATGGCTGAAATATATATACGAGATACGCCGACAGTTTATGCAACATTTGGCATATGCCCCACAGCAGCTCAGTTCCAGGGTATAGAAGTTGCTGCTGCCAGGCAAAGCCAAACAATCGGGCGCAAAATTTATTTTTTATTCTTTCTCTGGCCGCTACACTGCAAATGACATAATGCAAAAAATAAATAAACGAATGCGCGGCATAATGAAGGGAAATAGTGGATGTACAGGATGACACTGTAGAGCCAACTGAAGCCGGCGTTTTTTGCCAGCCCCAAGGCAGCGGCTCAACTGCCTCGCTCGCTCAGCATTTCTTGCTGCCACTTTGGCTCAGTTTATCCAGCCATTTATTGTGTGTGGCAAGTGCAGTTCCTTGTACTGAACCAAACAGCTCGAGTTCTATTTGGTTTGGCTTGGTTTATTCTGTTTTTGCTTTCATTTCGGCCGCGATGCTGTTCGCTGCTGCTGCTGTTGCTGCTGTTGGCCATAAAGTTGTGCAAATAAATTGCAATGCAGTCGAAGCTGGCAAGAAACAAATGTTGTTGCTGTGAAGCCGCGACGCGAAATTGATGGGGAATTGATTTGAAAGCAAATACATAAATGGAGCAGAGCAGAAACAGGGCAGCGCATAAATCTTTGGGGAGCAGCACAGTGAGAAATTGGCTAGATGCTCTGCTAGATGGCGGCACAAATTGAGAAATTGGGCTGGGAGATGTGTGCGTGTGTGCCTGTGTGTGCGCTGGTGTGCGGGTGCGGGGGCGTATACGAAATGCGTTTCTTGTGTCTTTGCCGAAAGAAAGTTGGGCAGAGTTGAGTTGAGAAATCATCGCGAATTGATGTATTCGTACAATTTGGCTTTGTTGTTGATTACTTTAACGACTGATTAGGTGCCGAAATATACAGAAACACGCTCTGAATATCAATGAGATAGATGGAACGAAACTTTGCCGCAGCTCAAATTGAATGTACACGAGTGGCTCGAAGATAATTTTATTGATTGATTTAATGGTTTTACTTGGATTTATTTTGTTGTCTATTTAGATTGTTAGGGATTTACACGGCCAGGTGCTAGAAATTTGATCGGCTTTCAAATAACATTCTGCGATAGTAAAAGAAGTTTGCCATTTGCTCTGGAGAATTCGTTCGGCTAAATCAATATTAAAGCGCGCATTCTGCATTTTTTCTAGCCTTCAGCTCTATTAGCAGTCCACACACAATGTATTTGATATTCTTCCATATAATATGCAAACGAGTTGGGTTCATAAATCATGGAATTTACATGTCTTCAGATATTCTTGCTCGTTTTATTTATTTATTTTTTTTTTGCATATCATTTTCATAATAATGCCGTTGCTTTCGGTAGCTCTTGGTCTACTCGACAAACAGCTTTTATGCTCAATACACAATTTCAATTCTCATCACTTGAATTTGCGCTGAAGGAGCTCAACTATTGCCTTCAAGTCGAAAATGCATGGCAATAATTCAACTCAATATCCACACACACACACACACACACACACACATGCATATGTATATATAGAAATATGCTCTGGCATACTCTTACACGTAAGTTGGCTGGTATGTTAAGTAAAGCGCTGGCATTCACTTACCGATTCAATGGCCTTCTCCAGGCGAAAGATCTCCTCTTGCAGCAGATGCAATGTTCCCGTTTTGCCGCGATGACGCGCAAATGCAGCGGCACAGGCGCTGTGTATGCTATTTACCCAATTCTCGAGCTCCACCTGCATAGAAAACATAGAGAGAGAGAGAGAGAGAGAGAAATATGCATATAGTGTGAGCTAGACAACAAATTGCAGAAGCCAAATGCAACACAGGCAAATTTGACGTTGCTCCCCTGCGCCAAATGTCGACAATGTTGCTGTTGTTGTTGCTATAGCTGTCGTTGTCGTTGTCGTTGTCGTAGCCATTGCTGGCTGACTATCAGTTATGCAAATTTAATGACAAATCACTGAGGCGACCAGGCAAAACGCTCAAATAACGTCAGGCAGTCAGTCAGTCAGTTGGCTGTTGGAGGTGGGGACAGGTGAATGCGGAGCGTATGCCTCTGAGACATGTAACAGTTTAGGCACAAGGACCATGTCAGGCAACAACTATTAGTTCAAGGCAATCTGCCTTGCCAGTTAGCTGTCGCATACCCAGCCTCAATCGCACTTTAAGCCAAGCGATTTGCATTTCAGCCATTTGCGGGGTCTGCATCAGTTAACGCCTTTGAGTCGCTGTGTGGCTGTGTGGGGTGCATGGCATGGCGATTACGAATAAGGTCTGTTGAAAGCCCGCGAGCGCTGAACTCAACACAACAACTCACACATGCACAGGGGCTGATAGATATATCCTTGGTATCGTAACGCAAACAAGAAGCTCGCTCGCTTGGTCGCTCGCTCTCTCCACTATGTCGTCCAAGTCCAAGTTGTGTCAGAAGCCTGGACAAGGCCAGCTTTTATGCTTAACTGCCCTCGGGCGGGGCCAGGCCTGATGCCTTTTCTAATTGCAGCATGAGAGTCTTACGGTCGAAGGACTTGACAGGACTTTTATTAAGCACGACACGCGTCATATGCTGCCGAACTCCACTTACCTGACAGGGCGCCTGGAACAGATAGGCATCACCGAATGCGGTGCTCAGACAGAATATATAATCGCGCTTTGGATGCTCCGGTATTGGCTGCATAATTGCGCCGTCCACAATAATTAAATGCTTGGGCGCCGCCTCAACGCTGCGACCCTCGCGCGAATCGCACGGATAGAACAGCAGCGTGGTGCCCTTCAGGCACACCCAGTAGCCCTTCCAGCCACGCTTGCGAGCCAGCTCGATTTGATGCTTCTTACGTAGTAACCATTTCTTTACCGATAGAAAGCTGTGCCAAAGTGGAAGTGGAAAAAGCAAAAGCAAAAATGTAATCAAATCGATGTTAAATAAGCAACAGCTAATCAGCAGCAAAGCCGGAGCGGCAAATATCATTTACAGCAACTGGGAAATATTCCTTCAGAGAATTGAGCGAAATTACACAAACATGATTTGGCAGTCGATGCAATCAGTTGCACAGTGTGAGGTGATTTTATGAGCTGCCAAATCAGCTGAGAGCCATAAAACAAGCTGCAGCTGAGCATTATAAGTGGCATGGCTAATTAATTGCATAAATTAGACGAGGCAATAGTTAAAGGCAAACTTGTCTCGTTTACGTCTAGCTGAACCCGCTTTAAGCCATCAAGCCGGCCTTAATGTGCTTGCTGTATGAAAGGGATTCGTGTTCATAATGATGATAGTTAGGTTCATTAGCTAATAGGTAACACTAAACGGGCTTGCTTTTTGCAGTCTCTCTTTACGCTCAACAACTTGTTTTTGCCCCTTTTTGGCGTCTCTGCGGTATTGCAGCTATGTTGCCGGCACACTTCATCATGGCGCCGAGATCGGAGTGCGGAATGCGCTTGGCTGTAATCGCTGTAAATGATATGCCAAGCGTTGAGCTATTTTCTACTTTATTTATGATTAGCTGTTGTTTGGGGCGCACACGTGGCATTCCACTCAGCAGCTGCGCCATGCCCTTGGGCATACTTTCGTGCCACTGATTACTGCCAGTTGGGCACGATAGGGCGTACGGAGCTACTTACCCAGCTTTACGCACAGCGCCCGTGCAGTTGAAGGAGGATGCAGCGGTGCCAGTGGCCTTTGCTTTATATGGTGACGCCATGACACTTTCGCCATCATCTTCATCCGAAACGGCAGTAGTTAGGCTCATTCGATCATCGTCCGAGATCTGGAAAGAGTGCGTCAATTGAGAGCGTATAAGTAAAGCGGTTTAACTCAGACCCATAAAGTGACTAATAAATATGTATAGATGAGGATGTCGCTGTTGACAACGAGAAAATGTAATAAGTCTGCCGAGCAATAATTGAAATAATTAAGTCATAATTAACAGTGCCAGTCAGGCAGGTCCCATGGCCAACCACACCCACACTCACACTCACACACACGCACACCCACACACATACAATTCAACCCGATACGAATCGACCCCGTAAGCCATTTGATACCAATAATGGTCGACTGGCTCCTTGTTGTTGTCGTTGTTTGTATTGCCGTTGCTGTTGCTGCTGTTGCTGCTGTTGCCGTTGCCGTTGTCACTGCCGACAGCAACATTTGTTACGTATGTCGTCGATAAAGCAATTTGTCTTCTCTCGCCTGCATTTTTAGTGAAGTTGGCAACATGGGACAAGAAGCGAAAGGCGGTACAGAACGACGGGGCGACGGATGGACAACAATTGACAACAATAACAACAACAACAACGAGCAAGAAAGACGACTCAGAAAATGAATCGAAACAAAATAACAACAGCAGCTGCTAGGAGAAGAGATGGCCTGACAAAGGCAATGGCAAACAGTTTCTTGGCCATGTTATCGAAGCGAACTGGCTAGCGAGCATTCCATCAAAAGCCGGGTCGAGAGCGACAGCTCCGCTCTGCTCTGCCTGGGCCCATCCTGCGACTTCCTTCCGTTCTCACCACACACACACACAGAGAGCCCAGTGCGCCAATTTTGCTTTCGCAACAGGACAAGTGACAAGGCAGTCAGGGGATAGCGGATAGCAGGGGGGCGTGGCAGTTTGGTCCCGTGTGGGCATCAAGTTGGGGCAACGGCACTGAGGCTGTGGTGCGCGCGCTCGTTCGCTACGTGTCCCGCGTGGCAATAAAAATTGGTTTGCCCATTCATTCGTTTCAATTGGGTGGTGCTGGCTGTTGGCTCCAGCTATCAGCGCCCAGCCACGCCCACAATGTCGCTCACTTGCTGCTGCTATTGCTGCTGCTGCTTCTGTTCATGCCATTTTTATTTGAGTTCCCAAGGAAATCAATTTACAATGTGTTTATTCGTTTCGTCTTCGCTTCCTGCTGCTGCTGTTGCTGTTGCTCTGGCTGAGGCAGAACTTGAGCCAACGACAGATCCATCGATTCCTTGGCCCCATTCCTTTGGCTTTGGTTACTACGATACACCTACAGGCCACCCACATTTCCGCCCAGCTCTCTTTCTCTAACGTTTTTGGCAATTTTCAAACATTTTTGCTCATATGCATGTTTTACAAGTTATTTATTTGACTGCCCGACGCCCGCCGTTGGTTAGGGCGTGCTACGGGCGGCAAATGGGCAACTGTCAAGTGGCATGTGCGCTTATGTTTGCTCACCAGCCACGCCCAAATCCTCAGTAGTCGCCCTTTCAGCAATAGCAACAGCAACGGCAATGGCAAAGTCATGTGTGCTTAACCCACAAGTGACGTCGTCAACGTCGCCCTCATCGTCGTTTGTCGTTGGCCAAGTTTAATCAAATTTTATATTAATCGAAGGAGTGCAAAGGCATGCAAATACCCAAACGTGAGCTGGCTCCACTTCGTCAGCAACAAGAAAGAGGCAACATAAATATTTTCCGAGTTCAAATTGCCAAAAATAAAAAGGGAAACCCAGCAGCACAAGCACATCAAAGCGTAGGGTAGCAACCCCTGCCCTGACAAGGGGTTTCGCCAGGAGGGAGGGTTGGTGGGCGAAGGGCGCAGAGCAATTCCATTGAATCGAATTGAGGTGCATCGCTTGTAGCTCTGATTAATTGGGAAAGCTATATATATATATAGATATTTATATATATAATGGAGCTGAGCAAGTGAAGAAGCCATTAAAGTGCTTTAACAGGCATTGTGCAAGTTGTTTAAGGCCTTTTACAACACTGTAAACGTGCTTATAAATTCTTTGCACTTAATTAGTATTCAGCCTGGCCCTTAGCTAGAATATGTCAGATTTTTATTTCTTTTCGCATTTTAAGCATCTTTTTACACTCTCTGTTGGCGATTTTCGTCCGGCTTGGAGTTGCTTTGATACGACTTAATTAATTTTTCACATTTTTATGCAATTTTCCATAGCTTAGTTATAGCTTTTTTAATTAAAGTCTTCCATTTATGTTGAAACCCTTTTCTACACTTTCTACTTGCTGCTGGCTGCTGGCAATTGGCAACTGGCTTTTCTAGTCAAGTTTCGATTTTCTGCTTATCTGTTTTGTCAAAATGAATTCGCAACATTTTCATAAGCAGAGCTTGCATTTTAAATAGCCAGCCCGTGGCCTCAATCATTTTTGTGGCAGCTACCATATTGAAAACTTCCAAAACACTCAAAAAGCACTCACCCACTTACCAGCGGCAGTCAGCATCGCCGCACCGCCGAACCACCACCCAATACACCTGACAACATTTATAGCGCCAAATGAAATAGTTTCCGCTTGCTCAATGAAGTTTTCCATGAAATCATCAAGCCGAACGGAAGCTGCCGAGCGGAACTGTTGCAAGCAGACAGCACCAGCAGCAGCGATGCTGGCAACCCTGGCAACGAGGTGTGCTACACAAATAAGTCCAGCAGCAGCAGCAGCGGCAGCGGAACTTTTTGGCATCGAATTAAAGACAATAAGCAATGGGCAAAAATACCTTCTGCTAAGTTGCCTTCAAGATGCTTAGGTATACATCAAATACTATTTCGTAGAGCTAGTCAAAAGTCACTTCATCAGTTGCTTTCGACAAGAATAGCAACAGCAATAATACCAACAAAGCACTCGGAACAATCGACGCTAATGTAATGGAAAACCCTTTAGAATGCTGCTGAGAGTGGCTGGCAAAAAGGACACAACTCGGGGAATTAACGAGTTTTGTACCTTTTACAACAGATTACTCTGCATCTACAATTGGCTATTATATGAGTGTGTATGTGTGTGTGTGTGTGTGTGGGTGTGTGGGTGCCAAACAATGGCAACCCCAAAAAACCAAAGGCGAAGCGTAACGTTGACTGCGAAATTGGCAGCAACAAATCTGAACGTCAACTGATTGGCCCCGGCGAATGGTTACAATTTGTGCAGACCCAAAGAGTTTGTCAAATGATTCATGAATTTTTAATTGATATGACCCGGAGTGAAGCACCGGCAATAGCCCATGTCCGCCCACAGCTAAAGTGTTGTCGAATTTCATCAGCAGCAACAGCAGCAGCAGCAGCGGCAGCCTGACAATGGATTGTGTCTGCTAACTCACATGGGTAAGCCTAAATAGGCCGCCCTAAACACGCACACACACACATACACGCACACATAAACACACACAAAAGATTAAATGGCTATAGTCCTGAGCCAGTGTTGCCGCCTCTGTGCCCACACCACATCTGATTACTTGGGCCTAATATGCCATATCTCAGCATCGGTGCAAAATCAAAATTCAATTTACGCACACAATCAAATTCACACACACACACACGTGCGCGCCCAGACACGCCCACTTGGCATACACAGATATACACCCTTATCCGTTGCCCGGACAGGTGGCAGACCTCTGCTGTCGAGCTGCGTTTTCTAATCAAGAATTGATTGTGATCCCTCGATGCGGCTGTCGTTCACGTTTCATCCATAATTATCAATGACTTTTGAATGTCAAATGTGAGAGTTGCCTGCCATTGGCACCTACACGCACACACACACACACACACACACATATAGCAGCCGCCGCTCTATACCAAAAATAAAAAAGAAAAATCATTTCATTGGTCGCAGTCGCTGTCAAAAATTACAATATTTGATAGAGTGTTTATGTGTCGCTGCTGTTGCTGCTGTTGCTGCTGCTGCTGCTGCTGGTTGTCGTATCGCGCGCTGCCAAGGAACCAAATCTCACACATTCGCACAATTTCACATATGTAAGCAAACATTTGCTTATGCAGGGGCTGCCAGCTGTCAGCAAAAATGGAATAAAAAACTGCAAATTCGTGGCACGTTTGCTCTTAAGTGAGGCGTTAAAGCGAAGTTTCTGCTGGCAGAAATTGAAATTGATTCAAAATGGAAAATCTGCAGCGCATTGCAAGTATCCACCCTGCATCTCCCTCTCTCTCTCTCTCTCTTTTTTCGCTCCTAAACAATTTCTTTGGGTTTTCTGCTTTGGCACAACATCTTGGTGGTAAATGAAGTTGTCTAAGCAAATCGCACTATGCAGCGGCCAGAGCAAAAGCAATTTGGCATTAGCTGTAAGACGGATTTTAGCAATGATTAAAACGGAAATACTCCAGCTGCAGCGAGAGCAAGAGAAAGATGCAGAGGGAGTGAGAGAGGGTAGAGCAGGTGGATTCGGGACACGGGTATATGTCATGTCATTCGCATTTGATTAAATGTGTGCACTGAGCGTTGCTTGGCATTAATTGCTTTGTGCAGCGCTGAAGCGGCAGAGACGGGGCACGTGGTAGCGCTGTTTTAGCAGCAGATCAATCAAAATTAGGAAGGGCTTGTGGGCGCTGCTAAGTGAGCCAATTGCAGAGCTCAAGACGGAACAATGCGTGACAGATTCGCGTCGGCTATGATTAATGCTTGAGTAATATATATATAATTTAATCAAAGCAAAATTCTCTTGCTTGAAAAGTGCATTTAATTCAATTACCAAAGCTAAGCGCTGCTGAGAGCGAGTGCATTGTGAAATGGATTTAAATAATTGCAGCTGTAAATTGAATCAAGCCACTTTCTAATGAACATATGAAATAGGAGTCGTCGTCTTTATTTAATTAATATCAAAAAGGCAAGCGAATACTTGCTTCAGCTTCACATAAGCAATTTTCTTCAATTTATTAAGCATTTATTGTTCTCTGTCTGTCAGTCTCTACTCCCCCATCTGCCTCGGCTTCTCCCTCTCTGCAGCCGCCCCGCCCTTTCAAACACTTATTTCATTGAGCTACTGATTATATCCACAAGCACGAACGCAACTCTCAAACAAATTCCCTTTCAGTACACACTGAACTAGATTCAATTGAAACTGAAGAGCATGTGGCATGATATCTATTTCAGACATTAGCATGGAAGTCCCTAACACTGGCGCAGCGTTAGCTTTTCCATATCGTGATTCAATATGCTGCCCGTTGATCTGCCAATTAATTAATATGCAGCGCGTTTGGCCAACTATCGGTTATTCAGCTAATGCCTCATTCAAACTCAGTCAGTTGTATGCTTATCTGCAAATTTCTTCAGGTGTGCAGTGGGGTGGGTGTCTGTGTGTGTATGTGTGTGTGTATCTACCCATACTGAATGCACTCTGTGTGAATTGTATGTGTGTGTGTGTTGCTTCTATGCTCTGCCATTGGTCAAGCGAACGTACAAAGAGCTGCAGTGCTGCATCGTTGTTGCCATAGATACAAGTAACTAGTAGTTACCAGATACAAGTGCTTTGGAGCTGCCACGCCCATTGGGCAAAGTCCACAAAGTACGTATGCTTTTATCACTGTGATTCATGTGAATTGCAATCAATGCTATTCATTATCCAAAAACTAAATACGAACGGTAAATGAAAATACGTCCAGCGCCACGCCCCTGTTGCCCCGCCCCTTTTGTTGGCCGGGTACGTGCGTATGAGCGTGCGTGTGTGCTCTGTGTTAAGAGCTTTTTCGGCTGGGGCTAATGCTTTAATTTATTGCCAGCCTCCTTTGTGAGCAGCCAGGCAGGAGCTGGCGCCATAGCCGGAGTCGTAGTCGGAGCTGCCTTGCAGTAGCTCTAGCGTGAAAAGGATGCTTTTGGCTTTGATCAACGTTTTGTTAGGCAACCAAAATGAATTTGTAGCAGGCAGACTGACAGACAAACGAACAGCAGCTGTAAGCAGTAGCAGCAGCAGCAGCAGCAGCAGCCAAGGGAAGCGTTGCGACAATACATTTAAGTCATTTGATGGTAGCAACAAAGACTCTAGCAGCCGAGAAACGAGCCACAACACAGGATTTTCAAGCAAAGCTCAAAGTTAAAGCAGCTCGTAGCAAATTTCATTCAGCATTTTCAACTGCCAAAGAAGCAACTAATCTATTTAACTTCTGTGTGTGTCTAAGCACTAAATACAAAAGAGCTGAGATAATTAAGGAAATTTCAGGTTTACAGCAAATTTAAAGCAAATACTTCATACATACATATTTCTTAGATGCAAAGTTAATAAATTTAATATAATATAATTTGGTATGCCGAGGGAATACCTTTATTGTTTATATCAAATACTTTCAATATAGTCAATAAAAGCTGTTGGAAAAGTTATTTAGTTAAAGAATATTTAAAATATATATTTAATAATGCGATTTTCTGTTAAGGGAATACCCCTAATACACATTTTAAAATAACTGTTGCATAAATTACATTTACGCTTCAAATATTATTCAAGGGAATACCCCTAATCGCTTATTTACCCAAACTTTCAAATTGCTGTTTTTTTACCTTGCGAAGGAACATTTCGTTGCACTGCTTGGCGGTGCTGCGCCAGTGGCGATGGCGATACCGTGAGTTGCCCAGCTTGAGGGTGCCCTGCAGGTCGGCCGCCTCCTCGACGACACGCCGAATGCACTGATAGCGCAGCCGATTGCAACGATGTATGGGTTGCAGGGCGACCAGGCCATGTTCGGGCTCCGATTCGGCGCCCGAACGCACATGATCCTCATCGTCGTCCACCCAAGCGCTCAACACACCCTCCACAAAATTGTAGAGCATCTGTATGTTGGCCTGCATGGGCGCCGAGCCCGATGGCACTTGCTCCTTCTTGATGAGCTTGCGATTCTGGCACACCTCGCGCAGCAGATTCTCGCCAAAGTGCACGGTCTTGTGGCGGCGGCGACGCGAGTTCAGGGATGCGGCCGAGGCGGACTTCATTAGCTTGCCGTTGCCGTTGAGCACGTGATGAAGATGCCCGTTGGAGGACTGCAGCGGCACTGGCTCCAGCCAGCCAAGGTTTGTGGCCAGGCCGCAGCTGGAGGCAGTCGAGTCGCCGCGCTGCAACGTGTTCGGCTGCGAGTTGCTGCGATAGTGTTGCATGTGGCGTGTGGGCGAGGCAGGCGGCAGCAACGGCAGCTGCTGCTGTTCCAAGTCAAGTGGCGCCGGCTCAATGTCATCCAGTGTCGCCGGCGGCTGGGCGAGTGAGGTGCGCAGCCGATTAAAGTCGGCGGCACAGCGAGGCAGTGAGTTGCACTTGGCGGCATTGAGGCATTTGCGATTCTGGCAGCTGAGCAACGGCGCACACGACCGGCACTCATGGCAGATGACCAGTCGGCGCTCCGGTATGGGCGCCGCAACAGCTGCTGGCGGTGGTGGTGGTGGTGTGGCCGTCGTTGAAGGCGTTGTGGCATCTGAGCCGCCCACCAAATGGGCGGGCACCGCATGCAGCTGCACCTGGGCCAGCTGCTGGTGCCGCGCCAGATTCACCGAGCTGGCAGACGAGGTCAGGCAGCGTCGACGCTGGCATTCCTGATAACGGCAGTGCGGATCTGTGCAAATGGGCAGCAGCGGGCAGGCGGGATCTGTGCAGGGCGATGGCGAACGGGAGCGTGGCGCACGCTCCGCACTCGAGGATTTGCGCTTGTGACTGCCGCTGCCGCTCGAGCGTTGAGCGGACATGTCCGTCACGGTGGCAGAGCGTTGAGTCTGATGGCGACGCGAACGCTCGCGCTTGGACTTGCCGGAGCTAATGGGCGTGCTGGTTGCGATGGCTTCTTTGGGCGGCTGCGTTATCTTGGGCACATACTGATAGCGCTCCTTGTGCGGCTTGGCATACAGTCGCTCCAGGCGCTCTAGCTGTGCGCTCGTGCTGGCCGATGGCGCTGCACTGCTCACAACCTCGCTGGCCGAGTGGCGCAGCCGTCTCTCCCTTGAGCGCTCCTCGCGCCGTCGCTGCTCCTGGCACAGCGGCGTGTGGGTGGAAGCCACGGGAACATCATAACCACTCGGCACCGTCGTCGTCGGCACCGGCTGAGAGGGCGGTGGCTGTTTGCCCAGCGATTGCAGCTTGTGCAACGGATACGCAATCCAGTCGAGTGTGGGCAACTGTTGCTGCTGCCGCGGCTGGCGATGCTGCAGCTGCTCCTCGTCGCTGTGGCCCAGCGAGTGGCGTTTCCGCTGCAGCGTTGCATGCTCTGTGGCCTGATCCTCCTGCGAGTTGGAACGCGGCGCTGCGCCGCTGCTGCCGTTGCGACGATGATGCGACCGCCGCGACGACTTGCTGCCCACGCTCGACTGCATCTTGGTCAGCCACTCGACAATGTCTGTTTTCAGCAGCGATACTTCGCAGGGACCGGAACTCTGGCGAGAAAGCGGCTTCTTGAGCAGTTCCGCCAATGCCTTGGCATAGGCCGAGCTGACGGGCTTCTCTGATGTGGATTGACGCTCGCGCTGCCGCGGCAAATGCTCCAGCAGCCAGTCGGGCAGCTCGTCCTTGAGCACGGTAATCTCGCTTGGTCCGGAGGAGGTGCGTGCAGGCGTCTGCTGCTGTGCAGCACTGCTCTTCTGCAGCTTCAGCCATTCCATGGTCTCCTCGCGCACCTGGCCGCCTTCAGCGGAGCGCGCGGAGTGACGCTGTTGCGCCTTGCGATCAAACCACTCCAACTGTGGCTCCGGCGCCGCCTGGCGCAACGCGCTCTTTGGCATGGTTACCTCCTCAGCGCTCTTCTGACGCCGCGGCGGCAGCTGTGGCTTCTGTTCGGGCAGGCGCACATAGTGCGGTTCGGTGAGCCGCACCGAGCCCTTGCGCCGTATGCATCGCTGCTCCATGGTATCCTCATCCTTGGCGCGCACACGTCGCGTGATCTCAAAGATGTCGCCATTGATTTGATGATAGAACTTCTCCACCTCGACGCCACGTTCGAATTCCTCGCGTACGCTATGCTTGCCGGAGCCACGCCGTGCTGGTAGGCGTGGCGGCACGTCCTCCAGCTGCTTCTTTTGCTGCTTGTCATCGCTGTCATCGGAACTGGCTGCTGTTAGCAGCGCTCCGGCACCGCCGCCGCCGCCATCGACGACCCAACTTATGGAGCGATCACCGCTCGACTGCTGTTGGGGCTTCGGTGGCAACGGCTGCTGCTGCTGCTGTTGGAGCAAGCGATCCAGCGAGCCGTGATGCGTTGTCTTGAGCGTTGCACCCTCGCCGAGCGACTGCAGACGGCATTGGGCATTGCAGATGCAGACGCCGGTGCGTTTCTTGCTGCCAAAGCGAAACAATTGACTCGCCAGCTGTGAGACATTTTCACCGAGGCCCAAGCCACTGCCGCTGCTGCCGCCGCTGCCGGCGCCCGCATCCCTTCCCGAGGCCGTTGTTGCTGATGTCAAACGTGCCACCGGATGTGAGACGGGTGTAATGTCGACGATCACGCAACAGCAGTGTAGCGAGAAGGATTTCTTGGGATCTGGGGCAACGCTGCTGCTGGTGCTATTGCTGCTGCCGCCGCCGCCGCCGCCGTCGTTGGCAACGTTGCTGCTGCTGCTGTTGCTGGTGCTGGTGGCGACAGCGAGGCCACCGCTGCTGGCGGCGACTTCGTGCGATGCGTTGCTGCTGTTGTTGTTGTTATTCGGTTCGTTTGGCTGGCGCGTTTCGTTGCTCGTTTGATGTTGTTGTTGTTTCTTTTGTTGTTGTTGAAGTTGTTGTATTGGGGCGGCCAGAATGAACTACGGCAACGGCGGCAACCACAACAACAACAGCAACAGCGTCGGCAGCTATGGCTATATGGTAAATGGCGCGTGGCTAAGTTGTTGTGCTGAAGCGTTGTCGATGTTGTTGTCGTTGTCGTTATTATTGTTGTTGTTGTTGTTGTTGTTAAGAGTGCGTTTGTTGTTGCCTTGTGTATTATTGTTGACTTTGTTGTTGTTGTTGTTGCTGCCATGCATATGGCTTCACAGCTACAGCAAGCGTACGCACACACACAACTCGAGGCATGCACACACACACGTGCTGCACATGTATGTGCGTGTATTTACTGTTATTTATTTAGTGATTAATTAAACTAAAAGCTCATTTATTTAATGCAGTCATTTATTAAACAGTTGTTTTATTTTTTCGGCTATTAATTTATTTATGTACAACTGTGTGTGTGCTTGTGTGTGTGTGTGAGTGTGTCCCACACATTTATCTATAATTAATTAATTTTACTTGTTGCGAAACGCTGAATGGCACCACAAAAATTCGCTAAATTATACGAGTACTGAACACAATCGTTGTTGGATTTTATATTTGTTGTTGTTGTTGTTGTTTTATTTGTTTGATAAACTGTTTATCTGTGCGTTGTTGCGTGCGTGTTTGGTTTCGTTTGGTTTTTTTTTTTGCGTGTATAAATTTATATTTTTTTGGCATTTATTTACAATTAATTTAATTATGCTTGCGCTTTAAATAGCTCTGCGTTGTTGTTTTTGCTAGTTTGTTGAATTCGTTAATTTTTCTAGATTTATTTCTATGTGAATTTGTATTATTATTGTTATTTTGCTGTTGTGAATTCGAACAATGCATTAATTATCGGTTATTTGGGCATTTAAATAGTTGCCAACATTTTGTGTTGCCTACTTTTCAGCGCAGGCATTTGGCATTTGGCTTGGTTTATTTTGATATTTTCTGTTGCCTACTTTTTTGCTGAGCGCCAGCCTTCAAGTTTTGCGTCTTTTCAGCTGCACATTTCAGGGTTAGGCTTTTGTGTGCATTTCGGTACACACACATATATACATGTATATATATATATATGCATATATATTATATATATTTTTTTAGGCACAAGGACACACATAAAAAACTAAGCCCAGTCAGTCTGTCTGTGTGTACGTGTATGTGTGTGTGTGTGTTTGTTTGCATCTGTGTCTGCTGCCTTTAATTAGCATATAAAAAGTCGCCCGCTCTATGAAAAAAAGGAATTGAAAAAGAATATCGTGTTGCATGTTCTGCAAGTTTTTAAATTTCAACTTGCAGCTGCCCCAAAAACAAAAATACACAAAAAAAAAGTAAATAGAATAAATTTTATTTCAGTTTCATTATTTATTTTTTCATATTTTGCTTTTGTGTTATTTTAAAGTTTTACGGCACTAGGGCAAAGGGGCGCGGCTAGAGAAAAAAACTTTTTGCACAACTCTTCTTGGTGCGCAAATATTTTGTTTGTTATATTGCTAGCATAAATTTGCTGGCTATCTGCACACACGCACGTCGACAGAGTAGGAGAGGAATAGTGTGGGTAGCTGGTAGAGCAAGATGTGCATATATTTATAAGCGCATACATAAATACTTTTCTGGCCTGGCTGGCGAATGCATAAATTTTCCCTACGTCATGTATGTGGGGGAGCACCAAGGCACATCCTGCCACGTATCCCCCGACTGCCTTCACACAACTCTTGACTTGTGTTTATGCAAAGCACAGCATAGCAGTTGAAAAAGCAGCTGAAGTAGGAGCACCACTAGCAGCAGCAGCAGCAGCAGCAGCAGCAGAAATGCGCAAAGTTTTTCGGTCTGTTGCCAAAAGTTTGCTTGTTAAGTGAAAGGATTATATGATCCAGTATGTTTTTTTGTTATTATTATTGTTGTTGCTGTTGCTGTTGTTGTTTCTTGAGGAGTAAAACTTGAAAAAATAACTTTTCCTATTTTTATGTTATGCCAGTTTGTTGTTACTATTGCATCAGCTACACTGAAAATCTTGAGCAACGAGCCACAGCGCCTCGAGCTGTGTTGATAGTTTTTATAGCCTACTTTTTAGACTGAAGAAGTTGCACTGGAAAAACAACAAGCGAACAACAAGATGCCGAGAGTTGCGAGTCGTGAATTAGTGTGTCTTAGTTTCTATATATTTCTGTTGGCTGTGCGTACACACACCCACACACACACACTCACATGCCCACCCACATGCACGTGCTCAACTTTTGGCTAGCTTGTAGCCGTAAGATGCGAGTTGTCGATAAGTTTAAGTTGCCATGTGTTTAGTTAAGATGCTGCGAGACACGTGTGAGTGAGAGGGTGCGTGGCAAGGCTCAACTAGTTGGCAACTCTTGGCTCGGGTTAGTCCCAAGCCGAAATTGAAAAGGTGCTCGAGCGCATTTGTTTAGCAATTTTATCTTGATTCGCACAATAAAGTTAATTTCTGCGCGCAAAACTTTTAGTTCTTCCCAAGCCTTAAATGACATTTTTATATAACTGTATCAGAGTGTGCATCTGTGTGTGTTTCTATCCAGGCAACTGTAATAAATTATTTGGATTGTTTTAGGAACACAAAAGTTTTGGCAGTTTCCTTGGCGTATATAAGCAATAAGCGAGAGTTAAGAGGGTTTTTAAAATTGAATAACTAAATTATGCAGCTGGCACGGCGATAAGTAGCGATAGCTAGATGCTTGATTAGGCCGTAAGTATCTTGGTGTTTACTCTAAAAACTTTTCTAAATATTTTATACTTTGCCTTCAAAGTATTAAAGATAAGACAGGCGTTTAGTGGCATACGAACTACGTACAATAAATCATTTTCGCATTTGAAATATGTATGACATATTTAATACTTAACATAACTTGTAAATTATACATGAATTGTCTAGCACGAAACACGAAATGCGTAGAATGTGAAGCTGTTAGCTATATTATATCGTGCGCTGATAAGTATGCAACATTTATTAAAAGAAAATTCGCTGGAAGAGTTTTGGGCAGCGCTTGAAAGTAGGCAACGTTTCTTGTTGCTTTTTAATATATTCCCAGAAGCATATTAAATACAATTTTACGGGAGAAATCCTAAAAGTAGCTATGGCTTCGGCAACTTGTTAAAGTTCTACGGCCATGCCATAAAGTCGCTTTCCTAGAACATGTTGTGTTTATTTTCTTCTTTTTATTGTTGTTGTTGTTGCTGTTGTTGGACAGCAATTTGAAATCAACGGACTGACTAGCTGCTGGGACAAATAAATTAGATTTCCGCATAATTCGATGGGCAGCCACAGGCACTAATGAGAGCAGCAGCAGGAGCAGAAGCAATCGAGTCACTATGCCTGGCCAACAACATGTGCGTTTGTGTGTATGTGTGTGTGTGTGTTTGTCTTGTTGTTGTTGCTGTTCATTTATTTTTAGTTAAATAAATTCTAATGAATTTATCAACATGTTTTTAATGCATTTAATGTCAGAGTACAAGCACCCAACCACACACCCGCACAGGCACGTGACATACACGAGCCATACACAGACACGCAGTCATAAATATAAATACGTTTAATGTTAGTAAAAACAACTGTCAAGCAGCACAAATATGCCACACTAAATGTTGCTAGCTCTCGCTCTCACTGCCTTTTAGCCAACCCGTGCTCTCGCTTTGTCTCCTTTACTACGTGTGTATGTGTATGTGTGTGTGCTTTGGCAGGCATGACGTTGATAATATCCTTGCACATGTATGACGTTGCTGGCTGGTTATCCTTGCAGCTGCTGTCGTTACTGGCATCAACAACTGCAACGGCAACGGCAACGGCAACACCAGGCGCTGCCTTTTCAATATGCCACAACGATTGTTGTTGTTGCTGTTGCTGTTGTTGTTTCTGCGCCCATTTGCTTGTTGATATGTATTTTATTAGCCAGCCAGGGCAAGCAGAAAACTTTTTGTGCGTTGGCGATTTAAATTTTCGCTGCGCGTGCTAAAAATATAGGCAAACAGCAACAGCAACAGCAACAGCAACGACAGCAACAATAACAATAACAACAACAACAGCAGCTGCTTGCCACAGCCACAGCCACAACAACATACGAATTCAGCGAAACGCAGCCTAGACTCAAAACTCAAGCCTGGCATATTTTTCTTTTTTTGTTTCATATTTTGCTTCTCGCTTTCTTGTGCTGCCTTTGGCCGCTGTTAAATGTCTCTGTTGTTGTTGCTTTTGTTGTTGTTGTTGGTATGTGTGTTAAGTGTGTTGGTATTTGCGTGTTTTTCTTTTATTTCTGCCAATGCCCCGTACTGCCACACAGCTGTGTGGCATTTTGCAACACTTTTTGAGCTTAACTTGTTTCATTCTTTTTATATTTTTTATTATTTTTGTAGGTTTTTTTTATATTTGGAGTAAAACTTTGCACTTGTTAATTTGGTTTTAATGGCGATTGGCCGAAGCATTTCTCATTTGATTTTCGCTCGCAAGCAGACAACACACTCACACACACACAGAGCACACACACATACGCGCATTTTTGGGCGGCTGCGTTTTTGTTCCGATTTTACTTCATTTCTTTGCCTTTATTTTATTTTTTTTTGCGCTCATCTTATTTTTGCTTTTTGCGTTTAACTTGTGTGCTAAATTATATAGCCTGCGTCGATTTCAGAGCGCTGCGTGTGTCTGTCTGTCTGTCGGCCTGTCTGTCCGTCCGTCTGTCTGTCTCCGTTGCTGTGTTAGTGTATCTGTGTCTGTGTGTGTTGCTGTTTTGTAATTTGATTTCTTTGCCGCCCGCCACCCGCTGTGGCAATAGCTGTAGCTATAGCTGTAGCTATGGCTATGGCTACGGCTGCTGCTGCTACTGCTGCTGACGCACTTTTCGCACTTGACGGCCAACCAAGTCGCACCGAGACATGTTTTCAATGCATTCGTTTGATTAAGGTTTAGTTTATATTCGATCACTGTTTGTTTTGTGTAATTTTCCTACGCTTTATTTTCGTTATTCGAGTGTTGGCTTCATTTTGGAACCAGGCTCTAGATTTGCTTGCTTTCTGTGTTTCGCCTCTCGCTACAAAAACACAAGTGCATGAAGCGCGCAAACAGCTCGCGACGACGTTCCCGTTGTGACTGATTTTCACCACGCAGCGCAGGCAGCAACTAACCGACGCTGACGCTG